TGGCATCGACCTTCGGCTGGAGAAGTGCAGTTTGCTCTGGAGCTGTTTGATTCCCAGACCAAAGCAGCCACAAAGAAGCTGGATCTCTTGATGAGCGAAAAGCCTCCAGTCAGCCGAACGGGAAAGAACAAGGAGTGGTCGGATGAGGTCTCTCGGCTGTTCCAACAGATAAGGTTGGTCATCTCTGGAGTGGCAACGTTATTTGATGCGCACCGTGCCTCCGGTGAGAGCCCGAATGGTCAATCCAGTGTGGACGACGAAGGGGACACAGAAATGAATGATGATGATCCTCTCGCTGAGGCGGCCGAAGACGAGGAAACACGACCTCAGTACCGCTACGACGCTGGTTATCTTTTGACTGTCGAGGATCCTGCCTACCACAAGCTGCATGAGCTGAGGGAGGATGTGGGACAACTTCTATGCCGAAGCCACGAGTTTCTCAACCAAAATCAAGAAGACGATGTCTCTTGTTTCACGACATTGTATGCGGCCTATCGAACCTGGATTACTGACGTTGGCATTGAGCGGTCAGCTCATCCGCTGGAGAGACACCTTCGCCTTTACAAGTCGGACATCTCTGCATTCAAGATCAGTGGCCTGCGCAAGGTGTACCCACGACCGCTGCTCATCAAGCGAGCGGATGCGTACCAGCTCCTCCGTGTCAAGCACAACGCATCGGCGCGACAAAAGAGTGATCTGGATAAACAACTCTTGCTCAATCTTGCCCAGTCATCTGTTTCCCCTTACGCTGATGTCAGGCGCGTCGCACAAAGCGCTCTCGATTCATCTCTCAAAGCCCTTATTGGCGGGCGGCCTCTCGTGATCCCAATTCTTTTGGACAGACTTCGAGTAGCTTTGGACGAAGTCGATCACGATCGCATAAAGGGTGCCATGTATACCCTGTTTTTCACTAGCTTGTTGAGGACGATGGTCAAGGACTGGAGATTTGCTCCGGATGCGCTCAAACTGTACCTTCGTGCTGGTACCATCGACAAGCCCAGCATTCAGCAGCTTAACGCTACGGCGCTTTTCCCTCTGCTGGACTTTGGCAAGCCTTTTGAGCGAATGATCATCGTCAACCAAGACTTTGTCGAGAAGATTCAACCTTCAGACGACTGCTCCAAAGCCATAGATAGTCGCCACAACTTTATTGTTCAACGGCGAGAGCGTGTCGAGAAGAAGAAGCTTGCGCTAGGCTTGGAGTTGACTGAAATGGCCAAAGCAGCTCACTGGAAGATCGCGTCTCGATGCGCAATCTTTGCCAGCAACATGTGCTTGCGCTTCGACACGGTCGCGCCTCCTGAGTTCATCGCGTTGGTGACAGAGGGTATCAACGACACTCACCCTGGCCTGCGCTCCAGCTACATGGCTGCATTTACCAGCGTTTTCGAAGCCGTAGAGATGCGTGCTGCTTATGACCACACTTACCGCAACTATCTTCTTGAGAAGGAAAAGGACCGAAACAAGATCACGATTCAGGTCCCCAAAGGCGATGCAGCTTTCACGCAGAAGTATCTGGACGCATTCGCCGGCAGTCCCGAGACCGCAGAGTACATGGTTGACTCTGATCATCCAGGATGGCTGGTGTGGGGCAAGAAGTTCCTTGCATCGCGTGCGAAACCCATGCCTTTCACCGATTACGACGACACCGAGACGGCGGTTCGGAAGCAAATTGGCCAGTTGATCACGAAGGAGTGGCTGAAGACATGTTTCGACTACCTCAAGCAGGAACCTCGCGATGCGAACGCTGATAGATTCCGCATGGGCAACGTGTACATGTTGATGCACGTCTTTGATCTCATGCATTATGGGGGCACTGCGATCAAGCTAGATGACGTCAAAGAACTCACCAATGAAGTCTATGGCGACGGCAGCGACAAGCACCAACACCGTGCTACGGCAGAGATCATCGCGGCGCTTCTGTGTGGATCGAGCGATGATCCGCCCGAATTCCGCGACAAAGTATGGGGATTCGCCGCGCCTCTAATGCTGAAGGTCCTTAACGAGGACCTCACACCGGAGAACTTGCAGTACTGGGTCTCATGCTTGCATCTGACGGTTGACCCGAAGGATCCGCGTAGGTCGCACGAGCTTGTTGACGCACTGAGTTCTTTCCGGCTGGACATGTCTTCCAATGCTGCCTTCAAGGAGTCCAGCAAGGTCCAGGTGCTGGAGTTCATTATCACAGACTCGGGCTGGCACTTCCGTCACGAGAAGCCCATTCTCGCAGACTTCCTCGCACACATTGACCATCCCTACAAGACCGTGAGAGAAGCCATGGGCCGCGTCATTGCCACCATCTATCGAACCCGCTATCACGAATCCTTCGAGAATGTCAATAAGCTGCTGGAGGCCAATAAGTCAGCCTCATCTCTTGGTCTTCGCCCGTACGAGGCAAGCAAGGAATTTTCTGAGACTATGCTTGAGATCTTCGACCGTCTTGAGAAGTGGCGACATGAGCGTACCCCTGGTCAACAGACACCTTCGTCCTACACCAGTGGTTCGAAGACTGTCTTGACTTGGCTTGATAGCACATTGTCGTCACAGGAATGCACACAGCTGATGCCATTCTTCCCCGAGCCTTTCATGGAACAGCTTCTACACATGATGGACGTCAAGGAGGATCCCGAGCTTATGAGGCTCGCCTACCACGTTTACCGTCATCTACCGAACATTCCTTTCAGAATTGGCGAAGATGGGGCTTTCATTGATGCACTGGTCCGCATCGGCAAGTCTGCCACGAGCTGGCATCAGCGGCTGCGATCCATGGTCAACATGCAAGTCATTTATTTCCGTCGCCTGTTCCTCATCGAGAAGAAGCAACGGGACATCTTGTTCAACGCCGTCAGCGATATGCTCGCCGACCCCCAACTCGAAGTCCGCTCTTGCGCATCGGCCACCTTGGCCGGCATGATTCGATGTTCGCCAAAGCAAATTCGCGACCCCACCATTGAACTCCTCAAGAAACGCTTCGAGAACGAGCTCCGCCTAAACCCGATGCCCAAGAGGAAGCTCCCAGGCACCGAGACGCCTGTGGACAACAACAAGCAGATAGTGCGTCGTCACGCTGCTGTTCTAGGTCTCGGTGCACTCATCGAGGCCTTCCCATACGCCACGCCGCCCCCGTCCTGGATGCCGGAGGTGCTTCAAATCCTTGCTACTCGTGCTGCTAGTGATCCTGGCGTGGTTGGCAAGGCTACCAAATCAATCTTGTCCGACTTCAAGAAGACAAGACAAGATAGCTGGAGTGTGGATCAAAAGGTACAGTCCATCATTTTACCCCCAACCTCGTATTGGATATCGTCTAATAAGTCAACAGTACTTCACATCAGAACAGCTCGAGGATTTGGAGGGTGTTCTCTGGAAGAGTTATTTCGCATAGTCGGCGCGACATGGCTCAAGCATGCAGCGTGCATGCGTGTGTTGATTCAGTTTAGGACATGGGCAGTCATTAAAGGCATGGTGACGGAATGATATCCACTGGGGGAGGCAGGATTGCATGGCCTTGATAGATAGGCCCAGGATAAACAGTGTGCTTGTGAATTAGTAGACTTTGTAGTTCATATACATGCTTTGGTCGTACATATTGATGGCCTCGACTGCTTTGGCTTCGGGATGTATCCCAAGTGTTGTTCGTCTTCGCGAGGGACTTGGGAGACCTACTTGTGAGCTCGTAGTCTTGTCGCAAGGCCCCGATCAGCTGGGGACCAGGTATAGATGCCTCGAGTCACGACGTGTGTCGGGAGACTAAACCTTATTTCGAGCACGTTCAATGCGACGAACTCAGCCTAAGGGACGCGGCGTTCTGGAACACTCTGACGCGCCTAGTTTCCAGGGTCCAAAGGGCTGACGCCAAGTCCTTCTCCCGCGGTGTGGTTTGGGCAATGGGCGCGCGGCAGCAGGGACAGGATGCTCGCTGTCGCCGTTTCGGGGTCTCGGGCCCTGGCATCTGAGACGTCCCGACGGGGCGGTTCACCATCCTCGTGCGAGAATGACTCGCAGGGCGAGCTCAGGCCTGGGCTAGAGTTCAGCCAGTCGCCTTGTTCTGCCTTGGCCTTTTCGAAGCATGGAGAGATGTATATAAACTGGATGAACGACGCTGTCGCGTTCAGGTTTGGTTCATCTTAATTATCAAGTCATCAGCTCGTACAGCACAGAAATCACACAACTCATCCCTCTCTACACCTTTGTTCCAATAAACGAAATAGCCAAGATGAAGACCACCATCGCAACACTCGTTCTCTTCGTTACCATGGGTCTAAGCGCCAAGACGACTTCCCTTTGCAGAGACGTGGGCAACAAGGTTATTGAGGATAATGGGGTCTGTTCTACGGCCGGAGGTGCTCCTCTTGGCAAGGGCGTAAGTTACCATGAATATACATACCATTGGCGTATCTCAAAGGATGTCGTACTGACGAGGAAATAGATTTGTTGCTTTGACCAGTCCAATGCTCTTGTCAAGTCGAGATTTGATATCGCATGTGATGATAAGTTGGGCACGGTTCAGTCTACTGGGGAGGCTTGCGAGACCTAGAAATGGAGAGGACTCGAGGGGGAATCATTTGGTCATTCAAGTCGTTTAGCGGTGCATTCAAAAATCGTCATTCTAGCAATTTGATTTTCAATACTAGTCTTCATTTAAGGTTTCGATGTCCACAAAATCATACTATCAGTGTTGATGAATTGGCTGGGGCAACTACATCGGACGAGCCTTGTCCGCAATCGGCGGGGGTAAGACGGAGACGATGCGCAACAACGGCACGTCAAATAGATTGCGCCATCTAAACTATCATTGGCGTTTGATGTGGAGGGGTTTTACTTCAGTTCGGTATCAAGAAATGAATGCTTACCTTGTGTCGGAAATCATTTAGTGTATGAAGGTGCGAAATCGTCGATGCTACTGCATTGCTTCGTGACATCGAAGTAGGCCTAAGCTCACCACTTCTTGCTACCCACTACTTGAGAATCCCAAGCCCAATATGAGAGCTTTGACTACGATCATGGCCGTGGGTGCCCTTGTGTCAACAATTACGGCTGACTGGCAGTTCCGCTCGCGACCTGACCTCGCACCTCCGAGACTCAACATCACCGTCCCGGCCGCGAACTCAGTGGAAAAGGGGTTCATCTTCGTCGCTCCCTATGCCGGCTTTGAAGATGGCAACAGCGGACCGAACCAGCCAGGAGCTTACATCTTCCGAGATGATGGGGAACTCGTATGGTCTGGTATCGGCTACTATGCTGGCTGGGTTGCCAACTTTCGCCCTGATACTTGGAACGGGAAGCAATACCTTCGCGGTTTTCAAGGTCTCCTTGACAAGCACCATGGCCGCATGTTTGGATATCACACACTCCTAGGCTCTGATTACGAAGTTGCAAAGGTGGTGCGAGTTGGATCGCACCGACTAGTTTCGGCCCATGAGTTTCGCTTGGTTGACGGAAAGACGGCTTTGGTAGAAACGCCTATTCCTAAGCCCGTGTCTCTCAAGCCTTGGGGAGGCAGCGAAGACCAGACATGGATCATCTCCGGTGGGTTTCAAGGTACGGTGCTCGTGTGCTTCCAGACTCGATACTAGTGAAGATATCCGAAGCTGATTAAGGTGGTAGAAATTGACATTGAAACGGGTGAAGTTATATTCGAATGGGAAAGTCTTGACCATGTAGACCCGAAGTGTGAGTCATTGGCCAGACAACATGCCTTTGTGAGCCTACTTATCTAAGACCTTACGCAGATAGTGCATTCCCGCTCGACTTTGGCGAAGGTCTTCTAGGAGGCGGAAGAACCGAGGCTGATGGGTGGAACTACTTCCACATCAACAGTGTCGATAAAGACGATGAGGGCAACTACCTCGTGTCAGCACGTAACACGGCGGCCGTTTTCAAGATCAACGGCACAAGTGGCGCCATTATCTGGCAACTGGGAGGTTTCCACGGAGGGTCCTCCTTCGTACTTTCAAAGGAAGACGTTTTTGGCTACCAGCATCACGCACGTTTCCGCAGTCGTTCGGCTGATGGAAAGATCGAAATCATTTCGCTTTTTGACAACGGCGCGCACTCCACATCAGTCAAGACGAATCCGTTTTCGCGCGGCCGGATCTACCAACTCAACCACACCGATGGTACAGCCAAAGCTCAAAAAACATAGAATGCCCCGGATGGACTATCGGCTCACACTCAGGGAAACTTCCAAGTGCTTCCTAACGGTAATGCCTTCATCAACTGGGGCCAGGCGGGCGCAGTGACCGAGTACAGCAATGACGGTGACGTCTTGTTCCACGCCTACCTCGACTCAGCCCCCGAAGGCCATTTGGTCCAAAGTTATCGTGGTTTCCGTTTCAGCTGGACGGGCACGCCCACAGAGGAGCCGGCCATAGTTGCTTTCAGTGGAAAGGACTCTGTCATCGACGTGTACGTCTCGTGGAATGGAGATACCGAAGCAGCATCATGGCGCTTCTTCTCTACGAGTGCAGCAGAGGCGGATGCTCGTCAACTAGGTGAGATCAAAAGAAACGGCTTTGAGACGCACTTTGAATTTTCAGGAAGGGTCAATGAAGACAAATCATTGGTTTTCGCCCAAGCTGTCAGTGCCAGCGGCAAGATCCTGGGGCAGACTCGAGCAACGACAATCTCGAGGAATGAGATACCACCCTCTTCTACATGGGTGCAATGGTCGGAGGACCTTTGAACTCATCTCGATAGTCTCGACAATTTTCGAGCACATTCAAGAGGGACTGAGAGCAGTTTTGAACGACATAAATGGCTAGTCTCGACGTTTAATAGCAGGGTTAATGGCTATGATGGGTTCTTGAGATTTCATCCATAAGATCCTTCCAGGCTCTTAATACTCTCCAGTAAGCTGCGTCAGAGAGCCAGCAGGAGGGAAGGGCTGATCAGTTTTAGCAAACATGGAGATCTTATTGAAAATTCTACTTTCGATAGAATGTCTTCAGGCCAAGGTATTGGCGAATACAGCGTGTCCTGTCGGGAGTTCAAGTGCAATCCGAGTCGCGTGCAATATTCTTGGTGTTAATCATCTCTCATGCGTACGGGTGGAGTTGACGATTTAATCCATGGAGGTTGGAGTTGCGGCTCTACTGGGCGTAGTCATCGTACAGGAGCCAAGTCGAAATCCTAGCCAGATTGTCGTTAACATCAGGCCGTTCGGTCAACTCCCGACTACCAAGTGATCTTGGTATCTTGGATGTCTTGGCTTAATTACCAAAACTAACCCTGTCCTCTCGCCAACTTGGTATCGTAAAATACATCTACACGCTCCACAACAGGTTCATCACATACGAGACTTCATTTAGCGTCGGACCTTGTTACATTATCCGAGTTCTCCCGAATTATCTTGGGGCCAAGGAAGCTCAGCCGGAGATCGGCTTAGGTAAAATGCTTCCTTGGTCTGTGGAGCTCCAAGTAACATGCATGCCCAGTGGCCAAGACTATTTCAACTTCACTTCACTGCGGAGACTCCACCTTGATAAGCTGCTTTTCCGCGAGGTCTTCCGCCTCCCTCGGGACTCTCATCGAAAGTAGTCCTTTGGTTGGCCTCCGGAACATAAATCTGGAGAGCACTGCCTAGTATTTTTGTTGAAGTGGGGCTGATGGCAACTCCAGTCCGATCCCTGGATTCTTACCTGTGGTTTCTCCATTTCTCGACCTGGGGCAGACCCGCCAGACATTGGCTTGACTGGAGTCCGGAGGCGGGGTCTGGGGAAGTTCATTATGGAGGGCGGAGAAGCATGGGGAAGCGAAGCACAATCGGAAAAACAGTGAAATCCATTAGAGCCAGATGACGACGGCCCAGAGAGGACGAGTGTATCAGTAAAGGGTTCTATCTTACACATAAAAGAGAGCACCTCTCGTGCCTTTCCTTAGACACCACACTTCCACCTCCGCTTGATATTGCCTAGACTAGACAGCCTGCCTTCATCAAAGCAATTCTAAGACATGGTCAACGAAGAGAAGCCCACAGCCCAGCAAGGCATCGGCATGGCTCCTCCCACTGGTATCAACAATACCACCGAGGATCATGTTACCAAAGACCCCTTTTTAATGGAGGCCAACGAGGCCAACGGCAAAGGGGATCTTCTTCCCACTCCTGAAGAGCAGATTGAGGCTCTTGGTATCGCCAACTGGCGCGATCTCGAAAAGCAGGTCGTCAAGCGACTTGACATGACTCTCATGCCGTGCTTATGGGTACTCTACTTATTCAACTATCTGGACCGAGCGTCCATCGCGTAAGTTCCAACATGAATGAGACGAGATAGGCCTAGCCCTGCCCATGCTGACTGAACTTGACTACCTCAGACAAGCTCGTCTCAGTAGCCTGGACGAAGATCTCAATCTTGAAGGTTATCAGTACGGAACTGCTGTTTCAATCCTCAGTGTTGGGTAAGCGAATGAACAAACTTTCGTCCCTTGGTGTCCTTCAGCTCCTAACCTGAGAAAAAGATATGTCCTTGGTCAAATTCCGTCCAACATGATTATTGGAAAAGTTCGACCAAGTCTTTATCTTTGCTTAATGGCCTTGGTTTGGTCTAGCGTCTCGGCAGCAACGTGTGGCGTCAAGAATTACCAAGGCCTCATCGCCGTCAGATTCTTCCTCGGCGTGGTTGAAGCACCGTTGTTCCCAGGGGTAAGTTCTCGTTCGACATCTTTCCGCTTCGATCCTTCGGGCATGCTTCTGATACTTTCTAGGCGATCTACGTCATGTCTTGTTGGTACACACGTAAGGAGATGGCGTTACGTTGCGCACTGCTATACACTGGCCAAACCCTGGCTTTCTGTACTGCCGGCCTCATTGCAGCGGCCGTTTTTAGCACCTTGGAAGGTAAATACGGCTTAGCAGGCTGGCAGTGGCTTTTCATCGTCTTGGCGTCAACCGGCGCAGGACTTGCTATGATCGCCCTCTTTATCCTCCCAGACTATCCCGATTCGACTACTGGCAGTGCTCGCTGGTCCATGACGGAGGACATGCGCAAGGTGGCTGCTGCTCGTATTCTGGCCGATCGTGTATCAACTTCGGAAGCTCAAGCTGGTGTCTGGGCTGGGCTGAAGATGAGCATCTTCGACTACAAGATGTGGTTGCTTGTCGGCATGAATATCGGAATCTCAGCTGCCTATGGATTCTCGAACTTCTTCCCATCCATTGTCCGGGGTTTTGGCTACAACAACACCATCACTCTTGTCCTGACTGCGCCACCATATATCTTTGCGGCTCTCGGTTCTCTCGTCAACGCATGGCACTCTGATCGGCAGAAGGAGCGCGGTTATCATTTCGCTGGCCCCATTGCTTTCGGATGCATTGGCTACATCATCTGCCTGGCCACTGAGAGCAAGACAGCACGGTACGCTGCTTCTTTTGTATATGTTGGGGGCATGTACTTTGCAAACCCCCTCATTTCAACGTGGACATCCAACACCATGGGTAGGACACCGGAGAAGCGCGCCATCTCTGTCGCACTTGTCAACGTGCTTGGCCAGATTGGGAATCTGATTGCTCCCTACTTCTTCGTTGACTCAGATGAACCACGCTATCGGCTTGCCTTCATTATGATGATGGTCATGGGCCTGATTGCATGCGCAAGTGCCATGGGCCTGAAGTTCTACCTCTATAAGGCAAATCAGAGATTGTACCGGGAGGCCGTTCGCAACGGCAGCGTGTATAATCCTTATGTCATGTAAAGTTACGAATTGGCTACTGTTACACTTGGAGATAGCCGATAGAGTTCAGCTGTGCTATTTCTATTCGGGATGGGGTGGGACGATGTGGTTTAAATTCTTCACGAGGATGAGACTGCTCATAGATCAATCGCTGACAGCACACAATACGAATCAGTGACTGGCAAACATTTCGCTCCTTTCGCCCTTCTATTTACATGTATCTTGATTCAAGTTACGCACAGTGACTGTTTGTGTCTGTCCTTGCAACGGATCAGTAAAGGCACCTTCTGCCAGACGAGGTATATCCTTTGTCTCGACGTCCATTGCTTTGACTGGTCCATCAACTCAAGATCGAAGTTCCAAACTAACTTGGCCAAGATGATGCGTAATTCTGCATAGGCCATGCTAGGGAAACATGGTTAGAGAGTACTACCTTAGATGGAGTACCTGCACATACCTCTTCCCTATACAGTTTCTAGGGCCATAAGAAAACGGCTGACTCGCAGACTTATCGTCGTTGGTAAAAGGAAAGTCATTGCTGTTTTCTATCCAACGTTCTGGGATGAATTCCCTAGGGTCAGTCCAATTTTGCTCTGAGTGACCAGCGGAAAGCTGATGAACGCCGACCGCCGTCTACAACACCCAAAAGTTAGCATCGTTCTTGTATCATCAGGCAGAAATTTTTATCAGGGGCTGGCACTCACGCCTCCGGGCACCCATCTCCCATCAATCTCTTCACCCGCTCCAGGCACAAACCTTGGCAGAGTACTCGGGCTTGGGGGATAGATCCTCAGCCCTTCTTCGATGACTGCCTTGAGATATCTCAACTCCCCTGTTGATGCCATTGATATTTCATCTTCGGTCTGAAATGTAGTTCTGATCTCATCCGATAGCGCGACGTACGTCTTCAGGTTGTTGCACAAGTAAAAGGTGATGCCAGAAAGTGCAGTAGCCGTAGTGCCGCTGCCTGCTACGATGAAAGCAGACGCCATCCTGACCAAATCGGCATTGCTGAGGTCGGCTTGCGGGTTCTCCAAGATGTAGCTCATTGAATCCTTTTTGCTACCGGTTTCTTGGAGTCGGCGTTTTACCTTCCCTGCAGTCAACTCTCCGTGTCTCTTGAGTGCCAGTTTCTGGGCCTTCGGGGCGAGCCACTCTAACCAGGCCTCAAGCCCATAATAGATGGCAAATTGATATCGAACAATTCCTTGCGCTCGATCACCAATGACTTGCAACCAAGGTTGAGATGCGTCGTCTAGGCATCCAGCCGCCTGGCCAAACGCCAGGTCACTAATGATGTCAAAGGCAGCAAGACTAAACCATTTGACCATGTCCTGGGGAATTCCGGTTTCGCTGGAGGATCGCAGCTGTTTCATCAATTTCTCGGCATAAAGCTGAAGGATGTCTTCCTGCTCTCTCAGTGCCCGGTCGCTGAAGGCCGGCAAGACTGCCTTTCGAAGTCGAGAGTGGGGTTCCTGGTCGGCTGTCACGATGCCGCCATTCCGAACAGCTGGGTTAGTTACACTAGGTCCAGCGATTCCCCGTCCGTCAAAACATTTCGTAAACTCTGGTGATCTTTGACCATAGATCTTCTTCCAGGCCGTAGGAGTCGTGTAGGATAGCTCATCAGGTGCAATTCTGACAACTGGTCCATGCTTTTCGTGGAGCTCACGGATTTTCCAAGCGAGGTTGCCTTGTAGGTTGACAACGTTCCAAGGCAATCGAGAAGCTGCCCAGAGTCGAGGTCCAGGATAGCGGCTTAGAGGGTGGAAGTAAACATTGTAAATGGTACGGGATACAACAAAGGCAGAAAACTTCAAGTCGTTAGATAAAGCAAAGAACCATTGGAGGAGCTTACATTAACTCACACAAAAGCTGACGAGAAGTAGCACTAGCCCAAGATGGGATGCGCAGAGCGCAGTGAGCCCCAGAAAGAAGTGCATGAAGTCTGTCTCTTGGAAGAAAGATCTTGCCTGCTTTTGATTGCCAATGTTTACTGACAGTGAATACACTGGTCTCTTGGCGTTGTCAAGGCTTTACGGCACAGGAATGCTTTTTATTCTCACCAACAAGTAATTCAGATGGCGTATCGCGAGTCAGGATGCGTGTTGAAATCCACGAACAGAAGGGCTGCCATCCAAAACGTGGGTATCTTTCAGGCTTTGATTCACTGCATAAACCATGACCATCCCTGCAGCGGGACCGCTACAAATGGTCGTACCGGGGGCCGGTGGCGGACACACAACGACCTCAAGTTGCATTAAATCTGACAGTTATCTCAGTCTATGGGTATCATTTCTCCTCATCTTCCTCAAAGAAGTGCACGACTGATGGTGCGAAAGTGGCGTTGCCATTCACGTTTCCTCCGTACTGCAAATATCCAGCCGCATCAACAGCAGGAATGCCCGTAATGTCTAAGTAATCTCCCATGACCCAAACACTTTGCATGCCCATCACCATGTGTTGCAAAATGTGGCAGTGGATCTAGACTCTGGTCAGCTTATGTCTTTCTTGCCTTGTGGAAATGAAGCAAACTCACCATCCATACACCTGCGTCTTCCACGCGCAGACGCCAGCCTCTCCACCCGGAAACATCGCCGGACTTTGTCTTCTCGCCATATCGGTAAAGGTTTGTTGTGTCTCGCTTAACGGGGTTGTAGTTCTTCAGCCGCTCCTCGTTTTCGGTGCAGTTGTACGTTCCATTTCCACTGCCGATATCCCAGTAGTGGCCGCCATGAGCGTGGAAGGGATGGAAATCGAGGCCACCGTTGCCATTAACGAGAGATCCAGTATTGTGCCAGATGATCTCGAGAACCTTGTAATCATGTTAACTCGCTGTCCTCTTGAGTGTTCCGTTAGAGAACCAGCAATTACTTACCTCACCCATCTTTGCCGGCCATGTTAACGTAGTTGGATCCCAACCGTTATTGTTCATGGCTGCTGTGTAGTTCGGAATAGCCGACGGCCCGTTCTCGTAGATGTTGATCAAGTAGGGTTGATCTCCCGCATAGGGTGTCGAAGTCTCGTTCCATTGCAACCCGTTGAGTTGCCAAAGGGTAGTCTGAGTCGCGAGTTGACGATTGTCAATATGGATGCGTCTAGTCACTTCGCTAGCCTGGGGGAAGTTGTTGGGCACCAAAGGTTCTAGTGCATACTCTGCCCATTCGTACGTCTTGTTTGAGAGTGTCAAAGGAGGAGTGACTGGCGCCGTGGTGATCTGAGGTTGTGCCTTGGAGTATCGTAGCACACCGTAGCCCTGATACACCTTCGGACGGTCTTTAGTCTCCAACTGGATCAGGTAGTCGGTTTTCCCATTCAGCTCTGATTCACTCTTGGCCTTGAAGATGACGTCAAAGCGTTGCCCCGAAGTTAACTGCATGAACTTCTCGGTGTGAGGCTTGGTATAATGACCATCTGCTTCGACGATGGTGAAGTTGTCGTGATCCACGATGCCAACTTGTACCATGGACAAGGCTGTGGCACCAATGAAGCGCATGCGGTAGGTCTTCCCAGGTTCGACGTCGATAACTGGCAACTTGCAGTTTCCATTTCCAGCTGTTTCGCCGACAGAGACTCCAACGCCGTTGATGAGGACCGCATTCGTTTCACCAGACCAGGTAAAAGGCGTCGCCACCAATCCCTTCTCGATGTCGGTATCTGTTTTGCTGAAATAGTCGGTAAGGAAGACAATTCTCTCTTCGTCGTACGCGTAGGGGGGCTCGGCCTTGTCCTCAACGATCAATGGACCGGAAGCTGTCATTGCCTGGAAGCCGACATGAGAATGGTAGAAGTAGGTGCCTGATTCGGATCGCAAGGGGTAGACCTCGTAGTCAAAGAAGTGGTCAGGTGGAATGGGCCACTGGGTGGCCGATGGGCTGCCATCAGAGAAAGGTGCCATGCGCATACTCAAACCGTGCCAGTGGATGGTGGCATTATGGTCTGGCATATCATTGTAAACTCTGATCCAACTTCTTCGCCCAGGCTTCAGTCTGAGCGTTGGCCCGAATAGTGTGCCATTGATCAGAGCTGACATTCTTGTCTGACAACCGATTGAAACGTTTTCATAGGTCATCTTCAACACAAAGTCCGGCGTGAAGCTGGCACCATGCTTATGTCGACCTCCATAGTGGCCCGGGGGCCCGTGATCCGACTTGCGCGGGCCCCAAGCAGAGACCTGCGTAAGCAGGACAAAGAAACAAAGTACCGAAACGAACGACTGCATCATGGTCAATAGACGCACAGAAGAAGGAAGAGTGTGTGGGAACCGGATACAACGAACGGAATACGGCAAAGGACTCTACTTTAGATGTATGCTCACGAACCCCTCACTCGGCGCCCTGTCTCACAGCAAAGATGAGGGAATGCCATCATTGGATTAGCCTTCTGCGCTACCCATTCCAGTATCACCGCAGACATTCGTAGCCCCTCTTCGTTCATTTCACTAACAAAGTTACCATTGGGTGTACCCGCCGAAGCGTTGGCTGCGTTCCTTGTCGGCGGTACATGCACACGTTGTCGGCACTGCAGGTCGAGCGGCCCTGTGCCGGTTTAGCCCCGCGATGCAAACCTAAAATATGATTGTTTCCAATCGGAAATCCCAAGTGTGCTGCGAATGCGAGGAGAGCGGGCTTGCGTAGCGTTGTTGGCTTTGGAATAGACTTTGGCTGATCCTTGTGCTTATTTCAAATTCCAATTAAGCCTGTTTCTTTGTTTGATGGTTGTTCCCGAAAGTCCGTCTCGAAGCTATGTCCTGCATTCGTCCACCTCGTGTCCGGAGTCCTCGGACTTGATGTCAAGGGTCTCTTGAGATCTGCGGGCGCTTATTAGATTAGCTTCCGCCCTAGCATGCGAGCTCGCCTGCAACTGCACGCTAAAGAAATTCAACAAACTACTGTTATAAGGTTTGATTTCGACTACGGCGTAAGCCGACCCCAGATTGGGTTTAAATGAAGAGTACCAAGAATCATATATCAAGAGTCATGGCTGTCTGCTAACCTTTATCATATTTTGACCAAATTTGATGATCACATTGGACTCATCGCGTTCGCCGACACTGTAGGAGCACTTGGCGTCTCTGAGTTTCGAACTGAGGTGGATGAAGAGTATGTATGCAGTTGTCCCTACTTTCATCTGACTCGAGCAAACGCAGGAACTACAACAATATGACAAACTACTCGGAACTAACCTGACTTGATGCGGCAGGTCTAGTCGAGGACCTTGGGAAACGGCGTTCCATGAGAAACAGCTTGGATGAGCCGAGCGACAGACTCGGATTCATCGTCTATAAACTGATTGGTACCATGCAATGTTTTCCACCTTGCCTGACATGGGGGGGGGGGGGGGGGGGTAGATTTGACGTGTTGGAAGACAATGTTTAAGGAGCATTACGGACTGGCGGTTCTCACACTAATTAACATCAGGAACGGTCAGAATTTCATAATGAGCGCATACGTATAGAGCCATGAGTCTACCTTGGATACTAGTACTCAGTTTCTGAAGCCAGGATACCGATTAGCGAAGTGGTATGACAGCATGAAACCATTCTTGACAATATAACAGGGATGCCTTGATCGTACGAATCCTTCCTAAGTCCCCGGCTTTTTTATCAGCAATGGGCACTGAAAATCTACACAAAGGAAAGCCCGAGCCTTATCGGTGCAGAAGCAATGTCATATAGCAGCCACCCAGCCACCCAGCTATTAGAAGTTCCTACGCTTACAGACTGAGGATATTATTCCAGTTCACAATTCGAGGCAATATTTGTTAGTTGTTTTCTGAGTCAAGCTCACCGAGTTGAGGCTTGGAGGACCCAGCAGGTCTAGTCACGCTGGTATCCTTGTCGAAAGGACTGTACTAGTAGAGCATAACGCGATTGATAAGCACTCGGACCTAGAGCCGTACAATACGAAATCCATAGTAACCCATCCGTACGGATACTTTTACAAATATCCATGTGGCTAAGATTTCTGGCTGATGTCTCTCCAGGAGCACGCATGGTTTGAGTAGAGGCGAGGCCAACGAAGATAAGTACTCTCAAACCTGATAACGTCCAGAGATACTTACCAAGTGTGAGCCTCACTACGTACTTACGTGCCTATAATAAATCAAAGCACTCATACTCTCAAGAGACGACCTGATGGGTTCAGTCCCGGAGTCTTTTAGGCTCTGATCTCCTCGCGGCCAAGGCCAATTGCCAGTCGCCAGAGGGTATAGCGCCACTAGAAGTGCCACGGCCCTGTAGAGTAATTGTACCGCCGTATTAAGCCGTAGTACCGGGCTATTACTGGGCCATTACCGGGGCGCCGTTGGGGTGTTTTTTGTAGTAAAAAGGATTCTAATAATAGAACTGATAATAGATATTACTTTCTAAAATACTAGTTTTTAAAGTAGAATTAGCTCGATTGGCCGTAACTATACCATCTCCGGCCTATCTTAGCCACTGATTTAGAAAAGAATATTGTATAACTTTGGTACTCTTGAGAGACCGGATCCGGTAGCCGAACTATAGCTAGAATAAGTTTAGTACTGTGGAAAAGGGTTTTCCGTCGTTTTTATGTAACGATTATATTAGTATTGGCGACTGGTAACTGGTTTTAGCGACGAGAAGATCAGGGCCTTAGCCATCTACTAATACTTGACATATCAGACCTTACCTTAGGTACTAGTAGTCTATGACAATAAATGTGCAGACATGATTGTGAGCACGTGCACTTAAAAGACATCCCAAAATATGTCGGCATCGCGTTCACACTGCCACTCTCTTAAAAGTAGGTCAGTTGAAACAGAGAACTGCATCTTTGTACGTAAGGTATAAGGTAGTTTGAACGCCTGGAGTATCACAGTCCAATACATGAGTAGCATGGTTGTAAGCCTGCTTCAAAGCGATGACAGAACCTTGAAAGCATTTCCAAAGAGAAGTTCATACAATTAGGACGAATTAGTACCCTTTTCCCAGTTAGCTTAGGCATTGCAAGGCAGTGATGATTCGGAACCCCAAATCTCTTCAGGAAATACCCGGGCTGTTTGGCAGCCGCTTAGTAATAAGAAATTGTGTCGTTCAAGCGCTCGCTGTTCGCGTTTGGTGATGAGTCCGAGAACACGACGTTAGCGCCTCGCCAACTCGCCATTCGGGAGGAGTTATGCGCAAAGATGCAGAGACCCGCTGAACTTGCCGTTCTAGCGAACATCATACCTAGTGCTCCCAGTGTCAAGTGGCAGTCTCAATAAGGTGCCTGATATACCTAACAAGCAATGATAAGGTAGTGTTAATTTTGAGATGCGGGAGCAGCCGCATCACTAGCGAGAACCTTATCAATGCGGCATGGCATCAATGCAAGTAAGGCATTCGTACAGCGACTACCTATTCCCAGACGGCAGTGACAAAGATCTAATAGGTGACGTATCACGTACGGCTACTCACGGCGCCGTTCGTAACACCGAGTCGCCTAGGAAGCTCGGAGTATTCCGAGTGCATGCCCGACAGATCATCAGTGCCAAGATCTTAGCCTTTATTTCCAAGATAAACCACTAGTTTCTGTAAGCACTATCATCTTCGGCCTTTCCCAGCGATACGCAAGTTTAGGCACCCAGGTAATATGTACAAGGTAAGTAGATATTAATACCTCATACAGCGACCCAATTAGATTTGCAATCAGTCGTAAGCACTGCGAGGCTCGTGATTGGGTGCTTGGTTGCGCAATTGCGATGTCAAGACGCAAAGACTTCCCCATTTTCCAATGTGCTTGCACTGCAGGACGAGGGTCTCAGTCGGGGGAACACGCCTTCGACCATGAGCAGTCACGCCGTGTCTCTGGTTGATCGCCAAGTCTAGTCAGCAGTTGTATCCGTACGTGCTTTCAACAACCAAGCAGATTCATCCATGACTGTCAGGTCCGTCCCCACGCGTCACGGATGGTCCGTATTTGACACCATAATTTGCATGGTTTCCATTCATGCTTCATAAGCAAAGAGTGACATCGCGAACTATCATAGACTGATGAACAGTATTTATGTGAAGTCTGAGACCCATGTACTGCTGGTGGCAGGGTCTTTCCATGATCAAATGCTCAATCACATTTTACACGATGACCGCAAACAAAGCAAAAGTCACCGAACATGGCTCAGGACGCAGTCCGCTCATTCTCATGGTGGCCTTCCCTGGAGAAGGTCATACCAACCCCCTGCTTGTCATCGCAGCATACCTCGCCAAGAAGGACTACGAAGTTGTGTTTGTCACGACTGAGAACTTCCGTAACAAAGTCGAAGAAGCTGGAGCCGAATGGGTTCATACCGACAACCCTATGACCAACACAACCTTTCAATCACTCCGCGAAGCAGCTTCTTTGCCAATTGGTCCGGAGAGGTTTGCTGCGCAGATTAAAACTGTTTTCTTAGAGACACTTCCTCCACGGACACTGAAGATGGAAGAGGTTCTTACCGAGTTGCAAGGACGCGATCCAGAACGCCAGATCATTGTTATCGAAGATGTCTTCAACTGGTCAATCTTTCCCTTCAGACACGGCCGACCTCTACCTCAGGGCTTTGTTGCAGCGCCCAAGTCAATCGGCATTGGTGTTGCAGCCTTCATGATAGAAAGTCAAGACACGGGACCGGTCTCACTCGGCTTGCCTGCCGATGCTACCGAATCAGGTCGTCAACGGAACGCGGTTCTTCAACGACTAGTCGAACATGGGCCAATGAAACTTATGATCGATGCATGGCAGCAGGCCATGAAAGACACAGGGTGTACGACCATCCTAAAGACAAACATGTTCCGTTCATGCTATGCAGCGCATGACTACACATTGCAGCTTTGCTCTCCCAGCCTTGAATATGACCTTTCAGATTTGCCATCATCTGTGGAATTTGTAGGTGTTTTGCCTCGAAAGTCCGCAGGGACAAGCTTTCAGTACCCTTCATGGTGGACAGAGGTCGAGAGAGCTCAGAAAGACAACAAATATCGGCATGTTGTTTTCGTCTCTCAGGGCACGGTCAATATGGATTACTCCGAACTCGTTCTTCCAACAATCGAAGCCTTTTCAAAGACTGAAGATACCCTTGTTGTTGCAACCTTGGGGGGTCGTGGTGCTCAACTCCCGACTAGCTTCACCGTTCCCTCCAACGCTAGGGTCGTGGACTACATGCCTTATGACACTGTACTTGAGTACACCGATGTATTCATCTCCAACGGGGGATATGGTGCTCTGACACATGCTGTGAGAAATGGTGTGCCCATTGTCCTAGCAGGAGAAAGTGAAGAGAAGATTGAGGTCACTATGCGGGCGGTTTACGCGGGCCTAGGAGTCAGTCTCGCAACACAGAGGCCTTCGGCAGATCAAATCAGGATGGGTGTTGATCGAATATTCCAAGATACTAAGTTCAAAAAGGCAGCAATGAAACTTAAGCATGAGAATGACGGTATGGATGCATTGGCAGCGGTGGAAACCAAGGTTCGAGAACTCACATTATAAGCCTGAAGAACTCAACGGTTATCGACAAGGCTTTCTGAGGGCTCCGAATTACATAATAGATCCACTCCACTCGATATCAATTATTATCCTTAAACTTGTCTATTTTCCTCGATACCAGCCGTGTGCTTTCTCATGCCAAGTTGACGACTTGACCGGCAGCCATCCCTTCCCCATTCATTGCGCCCTCTCAAATCTTAACACTTGCTGTTGACTGTCCTACTTAGGTTGTCTAGGCGCGTCATTGAGACGTTTTCGGCCTCCGGAAATTCACTGGAGCATGGTTCCTGACTTTGAGCTAGATAGACATGTTTTGATGTTTCTTGATTTGTTTTTGTGCCATTGCTAGCTATGTTATTTCTACCAAGCCAACGCTGCCTTGGAAAGTGTTCCAAGCACCACGCAAGCTTTGTCACTTATCTTTGTGTAGCATTAGTCAAGGTGGTATGATTGTTTTGAGTACAAGGCCATGTTGACGGAAATCAGTCCCCATACTAGCGCAAACGGTCACTATAGTCTCAGGATTAGTTTCCGTTTGTGTTGCATTTCGTTGTGTAGACTCACAATGCGGTTGACCGACGCCTGACCGAGCGTGATTCTAAATTTATCCCGCTTCAACTGCGTCATAGTCAGTGTCTACACTGCAGGTGAGTGAACAAAGCAGTGGATAGACTCTTTACCTGTACTGAATACTGTCCGGGATAATTTGTGTCCAGGTATTCCTTGAGCTGGCTAGAGCTAACTTGGGATGCAGAAATGATGGCATTCCGGGTGCCATCTTGGTTACTCTGCCATTGAACCTTGCCGGAAGCTGTATGTCTTTGCTGCCAGGCCATGACCCTAACTCAAAGGTTGAGGTGCTAGATCGAAAAGGTAACTATTCGTGGGGCTGAGAGGTCGCGGTGGGAAAAGCAGGCAACCAGACGCCTTACGCTGCAGCTGTCGGAAACGAAACTCCTATTTCAACCTGGAAATGTCCCGCAAGAACAGATCGGCCGGGTGATCAAAGTGGCGAAGGTCGGCACATTGCTACCAATGAGAATAATGATTAGTATCCTAATTGACAGGTCAAGAGTCTTCTGCAACCTGCTCATCGAGGATCTACCTCACTTATGAGGTTGTGTGATTCTCTAGCCCTGTTTGCCTCAGACCGCTCTATCAACAATGTCTCTGACCGGTACTATTTTCCTGTCAAGGTTTAGAGGCAGCCTTGGCTTGTTGATTGGGCAGAGGAAGCAAGGATTCAGGCGAACCACATGGCGACCCAACCCCCTTTGAGGCTTGGCCGGCTGAGTCGCAGCAGCTCTGCGTTGTCGGCGCATATTATTGGTTACACTGCAGGCAATAAAAGCAAGGTTTTTGATCCCTTCTGAGTCCTGTGTCTTTCATGTTGATTAGTTGCGCTTCCCAAGCGCACTCCGGCACCTGATGTGGGCTGACTATCGCTGCTGCTGGCCATCCCTTGTCTTGCCACGATCAAACATCATGCCGAACGGGGGCATTTCGCGCAGCACATCCTCAGCAGGCTTATCAAAAGCACCGGGTATGTGCAACCCTCACCTATTTCCGTGTCGACGGGTCAGATGTTGTGAAATGTGGGAGTGCAATTCGACTGAGTGAATGATCTGTTATTTCTCATTTTCTCTCTAGGTCATCGACATCATTGGTAAGGATGCATTCGACTCGTCTTTTCCAGGCTCTTAAGATACTTTTCCAGAGTGCAGCCAATGTACTTGTAACACCCAAGCACTTAAGACATAAGAGCCACCGACCCAGCCCTCTTTCGGCAGATTGATATACCTAGGCACGCGGTGATCAGAAGAATTTGCCGCTCTTGTACCAATGAGCCTGAGAAAAGCGGCCAACTCTTCTGACCCCCGCGTGCTAGGTATCCATCTCTATTTTCGAAATTGCTCTCATGAAGACAACGTCGAGGCATCGAGTGGGGGCCGTCACTCGGCTCGACGGACGAGGGTGGGCGGGTGATGGGCAGAGGCCTCCTTGGGCATACACTTCGTCGAGCTCTGTCGGATGGAACAAGCAGGCTCTCCGGCGGCACGTGTGAAACGCGAACTGCGGTCAAGTGCAAGACATACCACCCAAACCAATCACGACACTGCCCTCATCTTGCTGCGGCTTGTTGAGATCCTGGTGCGCGACCCGTTGCCTTACTGCTTCTGCCTTATCAAGATACCATCGCTACTCTTCAGCCGTTTGCTGACCGAGTTCTACATTAGATGCCAGGTCTGTCAACGAGGCTTTCCTAATAAGGCCAAGGATGGGTGACAGAGACAGCTAAGAAGATGGCAAGGCCAGCAAATCATGGTCAGAGGCACCACTCCATCAACTGGGAATATCGACTTCAGAAAAGGTACTTGAACGCTCACAGCCCGTCTATATGCACGATTGGCTTTGAGATCTGCTCCATTCCGGTCCCATTCCCTCATCTTGCGTGCATGTGGGTTTCGCACTTCTTCAGGTAGCGTCGCCTTATCTGACCCATCTCCGCTGGCGCAACCTCTTTACGCATCTTGTTTTTTGATCAACAAACATCGGTGGCAAGTTGCGAGAACAACTTTGAGGCTAGCCACTGAGACCATACAGAAGCACCTGTTGGACGTCATTGGCAAGTTCCCTGTCCGACGGGCTCAGTCTTAGAACTAAGTCACCTAACATCGTACAAGCCACCCCTCATACTCTGGTCATGGCGGTCAAACCTGACGAAGTATTCAAACTGCTATTCCAACAAGAGAAACTAGTGTTGGATAACCGGCAGAGAGTCACCCATATCTATGACAGAGGCGAGTTCTTTCGACTGAAGAGCGAACAACAAAACCACCCAATTCAAAGAACCAATGGGGTATCCAGAAGATCAGAAGTCGTTCACTTTGAACGCGGTTGTATTGAAAATATTGCCGGCGAACTCGACGACGCCAGGACTTTTAGTCCCGTCGACCCAGAAAAGTGCTTCATACCGCGGCGCAAGTTTAACCAGATCATGACCTTGAGTCGAGTTCGGTCTATCGTCCACGAGCTTCATTGCTTTAGGGATGTGAAAGACAAGGATCAGCTCGCCATGGAAATACGATATGGCAGTCTGGATGGAACCAAGTCCCCTTGCGTCAAGCTACTCGCAATTCTGATTGCAATCGACAAAGCTGAGGATATGGAAAGACACATGGCGGGTGACGGACTCAGAGACATCTGCCTGCCTCTAAATAGGGTGGTTAGCGGCAATAATGAAACTCTTCGGTGCAGGAAACACGGAGAATATCACTTCATCAACAGCTATCGTCGGTCAAGCCTTCGAAGCAGATTTGCCCAATGGACATACTCACTTTACTCCCCTTTCATCAAATGGGAGCATGGAAAACATCATCATTACTTGCTCGATACAGGAGACGTCCTTCCCATGGAGACTGTGGACCAGGTGAAGGAAGAGGAAAGGAAATCGGATTCTGGAGGAAATTTATATGGAGGCTTCAGCGAGGTCTACAAAGTGAAGATCTACGAAGACCATTTCGATTTTGGAGTGCATGGGGTAAGTAACATTGTGAAGCAAACATGGACCTTGACCCGGGCTCGGCCATTTGACTAACGGTTTCATCCATCCAGCTTCGACACCCACAAGGCTACTTTGCGCTGAAGAAGCTTACGTCTCATAGTCGCGACAATTTCAATCTTGAATTGTCGTCACTCGTCTCCACTGCTCAGAACTATCAAAAGAAACACATCATCCAGCTTTTGGCCACTTTCGAGGTCAAAAATGCGGCGACAAGGGAGTCGACCTTCTATCTCTTGTTTGACTGGGCTGATGGAACTTTGAACAAATTTTGGCAGAGCAATCAAGCTCTGGTGAGAGATAAGCAGCACTGCGAATGGATGGCCACTCAATTTTATGAAGTCTGCGAGGCCCTTCGCTACGTTCATAACGACCGTGAACCAACTGTACGATATCTGGAAGACCGAGACTCCAACAAGCAGCTGTATGGACGTCATGGAGACATCAAGCCAGGTAAACCGATCCTCTCTGCTCTTTATCGACACATACTAAACTACAATTCAAAGGGAATATTCTATGGTTCAGATCTAAGAGATTTCCTCATCCTGGTACCCTGGCACTGGCTGATTTCGGTCTCGGAAGATTACATACCCAAGTCTCCCGCTCAAAGCAAGACCCCAACAACTTGGAGCGTACGGCAACATACCGCTGCCCAGAATTCGATCTGGAATTCGGTCTCGTGTCTCCACGATCTGACATTTTCAGTCTTGGATGTGTTTTCCTCGAATACGTCACCTGGTTTTTGCTCGGAGTTGAAGCCGTGGACGAAACCTTTAGTGAATACAGAATGGAACAAGATAAACACGGCTTCAACTCCGATGTCTTTTTCTCCATCAAAGAAGAAAGGGCTTTCCTCAAGGGCTCAGTTATCACATGGATCGCGAAGCTTCAGAATCACCGTGATTGCTCTTGGTATATCTGGGAATTGCTTGAAGTCATTCGAGATCGCATGCTAGATCCCGAATCAAAAACGAGAATCCCATCGAGCTTACTAAGCAAACGAATGAAGGAACTTTTGAAAGCTTGCACCGACGACTCTGATTACTATCTCAAGCCGAAACGCTGAGGTTCGCGAAATAGATGGCTGAGAGGCGCAGGCACTTTTCCCGAGGCCTGGGATGGTGAATGGACTACAAATCCTTCACGCTCTCAAGCCAAAGCCTAGAAGCAAGAACTGTACTTAAGCCCTTACCAGATCTCAATCATATAGGTAGAAACCATGTTTCCCTGTTCAACGATGAAAGGGCTAGGCGACTCGTCTACCTTCACATCCACTTCCGATATAACTGTCCAGTTCGAAAGGTCAGATTTTCCACATCCCGAGCCTGACAGCCAACTAACTCAGTCGTTGTAGTGTACTCTAATGCGTTTTTCGATTGCTGCGAGTTCGCCCTTTGTGACCGAATTTGTTAGTCCTGCAAATGCGATTTGTTGAGTTTTAAGAGGGTTTGTAAGACCTTTTTCAACGGCTTGGGTAGTATGAGGATATATCTGTTGGCTTTTTCCTATTTGAGACGATTGTCAGTAAATCACCTGTTGTTCGTAGATGAGAATACACATATATATGTGTATAGTATACCTTAACTTTATAATTCCCTTGGCCATAGATTGAATCCAGTGACTTCTTCAACTTTCCAGGATCATGATATCTCGATCTCATTACTTCCTCGCACGGAAATTCCAATCCTGTACCTGGTTTCGGTGTTGTTGGTGTTGCCTCCGTACAACTATATGTATCTTTATTTTCGGGTTCTGCCTTCCTTTCCGGGCTGTCACCGCGGCTCAAGGTTTTGCGAAAAAAAGACATTCTGAGATCTGAAGACAGACCGACCAATCCGTTCAGTGCCGGCAAAATGTGCTTCACAGCGTTTTTGGCAAGAGGCTCGTTGGTTTTCGGTGTCCAAGTTGAGGCGGAATGAACAATGCTTGGAAACCTGAAAAGGCAGAAATGGCGGGGGCAGCTTCCGAGCTAGCTTGACTTGTGAGGCTCTTCTTCTCAACAGGATTGGATCATGTGTGCAGATGACCAATCCTGATACCGAGTCCCACCCGCCGGGTCTTGCATGATGCATAGAGGTAGTTCCAATGGCGGGCCGACAACACATACATGAGCACTGCCTATCGCTCCACTTCGGATCTGCCTACATACACTAGAAGAAGAGGTGGTTTTGCCTGCTCGTGCTGCTGCAAGTAAGCCGACATGCAACTAATCGGTCTTGGCTCCAGCCAGCATGGTGTCCATAGAGAGCGTGGAGGCATTCTAAAGCAACTAAAAGCATTCTGCGAGGCAGGCTGGAAGGCGGGATCTCGTGAGCGGTTTGGAATTGTAGAAACTCATGAACAACATGACGGAAACAGCCTTCCAGTCAGAGACAACTCACACATACTGCTACGTATTTTCCCCAAAGCAGTCAAGATACATATGCTGTCGGCCCTGTCAAGGACCCAACACTTTCTTGAGCACTCTTCCTACATTTGGCGGAGCGCCATCTCACTACCCGTGACATTCAGGCGCCAGTGTCATTCGTTTGATTGAAGACTGGTCATCAGCAGAACTTCAAAACTTGAAGGATGGATTTACCTATTGAGACTTTGACGTGGTCGGCATCAGATCTTAGTTTCTTTGGATACAATGAGCGGAAGGCTGTGGTTCTAAGATATATGGAGGGCGAAGAGGTTTGTATTTCACCATTGTTTGTAGCTCTCGCATAGACTAATCTCTCACAGCCCGCAAGTCAAGCCCTTTACACTAAAGAAGACTGGGAGCGATGGTTCAGCTCAGTAAGTTGATAACGTTCTCAACTCACTTGAGATCAGCACTAATTGCAAGAACCGACAGCCACAGAGCAGCTCTCCTAACTGGGAAGACTTGAAGCCAGGGGTCCACGTAGTGTGAGCCAAATACTCCGGAGGCCCCGAACTCGTAGCCTGACTTAGGCATTGCGATATCATGCTGATATCTATTAGCTTGTGTAGCAGAGCTCCTCCAGACTCCGAAACACCGAGCAGAGTGCAATATCTCCCATTTATGAAGAACACATGGGAGAGATTCACTAGAGAGTTCCACGTCTCCCGAAACGTGAAGCGAACAATAGCAAGGCTGGTTCCGTGTTTCTCCTCGTCCCGTGAAGATGATGCGACATCAGGTCATCTCAAAATGTGTTCGTTACCCCCCTCGGTCCTTTTCATATCACCAAATACTAGGACTGATATGCCTTATAGCGTTCTCTGCGCGCATGTCTGCATGTCTTCCAGACGATTTAGCAATGTCTACCACTTACATACCAAGTACCGGGACCACATTTGCTGTCGTTTACGGTTGTAACGATGACCAGATGGAAAGCATAGAAGCAAAAGTGCGGAGAGCAGACAAACAAGCCTTTCACCCACTCTTAGTACCAGGAATATTTGCAGAACTAGAGAGGACAAGACTTGTTGATGCGGTAGAAGATCTGTTGGACCCGTTCACGCTCCAGACAGAAAAGCTCGAAGGACAGCCGTGGAGTCCAGACGCAGATACGGAGGGTGCGAAAGCACAACAGCACCTGACTCTCTGTGTTAAGAGTCAAAACCTGATGGATCAAATTCGCATGGTGAAACGGCAATTGTCCAAGTTTTCAAAAGAGGTTGATGTTGTAACGACGGAGCTTGAGTCACTCGAAGGTGCCAAATATATCTACAGCAATGAACCGAGAGCTACAGAGGTGGCAAAGGTGGGAATAAAGATGAAGAGAAGGGTGGACGACATCATGATCGAGTATGACGATAAAATTGATGAGTGTAACATGATGATCTGCAACACTTCATTAGCAATGCAAACGGTGAGTTGTCTGCCCAAGACTCTACTCTACTCCGAGAATTGAACGAACTAACATCAACACATGCAGGTTTGGAACCACATTGCAAGACAGGACTCAAAGACCAACACCAAGATTTCGAAAGCAAATGCTGCCATTGCAGTACAAACAAAGGTCGAGAGCGCGCAGATGAGAACGATTGCGCTTTTGACCATGATATACCTCCCTCTTTCTAGTGTCGCAGTACGTCATGTGTTCCATGTTGCTAGGACCTCTTCACAAAGACGTTCCTCTTTACTAACGACCTTAGGCTATCTTCTCTATGGATATGTTCAACTGGGAAGCAGTTGACGGCCAGTCTATCGTATCAAAGCATATCTGGTTGTTTGCAGTCCTGACTGTTGGTCTCACATCGCTCACCATAGCTGCTTGGTTTTTGGGGACAAGGCGAGAAAAGGCCATGGCGGATACGTCGGATAATTACTTCAATGCGCCGCAAAGACATGACACATTCGAGTACGTTTAGTAGGGTATTTATTTGGAACTACCTGATGTCTGAAATGGGGTGAAGGATGATACAGGGAGACCAAATCTGGTTTCCATCTAGAGAGAAGGCTCATCTTGGCGTTTGACACTTGTAATATGTTGGTAGTGTTGGAGGACCTTGGTACGTCTGTTAACATACGTGTACTATTCGACATGACTTCGACTCACGTCCATCAGGACCAAGTTACCGGGAGCATGCACCGGGAGTAGTGTCTCTGCTGCCTGGCTCGTGAGAGTCACTGCCATGGAAAGGTAGATCATGCTGTGGGGCCCGTTAGACGCCTTCTTCTGCATGAGGCCCCGGCTTGGCAAGGGTGACACTTGACATGCTAAGTCAAAGACTCCGAAGGTTGCTCGCGGCTCGGCAGCTGGTCACCAATTCCTTCTTGTAATTATGCCGCTAGACACTCCGTATGTGTTAAGTCCACGATGGAAAGTGCGGAGGATAGAGCCATGGCGTGAGTTACGGAGTACGGAGTACCCTATGTTCATTAAGCAAGGATCAACAAGAAGAAGGCAAGATTCGAATCGAGTTTTCGATATACAGGGATTTCCATCCTCTTCGGGTAGTGTAGAGTAAAGAATTTAAGGATTGCGATGGTAGTGTAGAGTCAGAAACCATGTCTGTCCGAATGGAGCACTCTGTACTAATCGGTAGTGGCCTAGTAACTCACTTTTGTTCGGTGGTTTTTTTTCTTCCAGCTTTACACGCGCAAAAGATCGACCTTGACGGGATCAAGGTTTGAAGGGAAATCACACGATAAGGTACTAATGCAACACAATAACACAGTATCCGCAATATGCCCTAAGCACGCGCTCAACTCAATATGGTGAGTCCTGAGATTTGGCTCTTTAGTCTACTCCGTACAAGACAAATTCTCATTGAACGTCCCACACCTTGTACCGTTGAGAGGAGGGGAACGGTCGGCAGACCTCAAAGCTCAGTCAGAATTGTCGGTGTTACCTAAACAACTCGTATTTCCAGGCTGCCATTCACCATTCATGCAGTGTCATGGCACCATTGAGCTAAAGTTTGAGCATCGCTTGGGGAGGCAATAGCGCGGGTTTTGGGTGTCTTGCATCTAATCCAGAAGAAGAGATGCACGAAGTAAGCGTGGCCGTGTGGGAGGATAGGAACATAGTGCTGACAGACGGCGATCGGAGGCCGCGAATCGCGGCCCCGCTCTCTTACAAGCCTGTTGGCGATGCCGCGGAGCCGAAATGAGGGTGGAACTGGCGCGTAAGGGAATTGAACGATGGCCTGCAAAGGGGAAAATTGCGACCGGTGAGGGTCGTGATCACAAGATGCGGTTCCCTCTCCTAATCTGTAGAGAAGCCTCGCTTGAGATTCTAACATGATCAAGGCTTGGATTTTCGCTGTGATATCGTCGAATGAAATCCCGCCTGCTCACTCTGCTCATCGTTGTCTAATAATGAAGTAGCTGAGTGAGATGGAAGTGAGTAGGCATTGGACATCGAGTGAGAGGTGGCCGCTGACTAAGCGGTGTTATCAAGTGGCTTGCGTAAGGAGATTCGACGAGTTGTGGCTGATGGCGTGCGCCAAGCCGTCGACCAACGCTGCAAGCTGCATGGACGGCGGCACCGAGGCAGAGTTATTGATTGGTGAAGACTGAATGGTTGGCGATTGTTGCGCGTCTCCATGGGCAATGCGACATGGGCCGTCGTCTGCAGAGATTGCAGCGAGCTATTCTTACTCTCCAAGCCTTGAGCCCTGACCCTTTTTTTCTCGCTCGTTCAACTTGACTGTTGCAAAAATCTCTGGGCGCGCAGCAGAAAGACGAACAGCAGGTCAGCAACAGGGGGAAATTCCCAGAGGAGCGGATCCGGTCGGCACAACGGCAGGGATGCAACGTGGAGTTTGGCTGTGGCAGCGCAGCACAACAGGACAGGACGGAAGGTGGGTGGTGCGGCGTGCCGTGGTGGACTGTGGAACGATAGGCGAGCCGCGAGTCTGCATTTTCTGTGTGTATGGGATGGTGACGTAGGGCATTTGTTCCTGTGTGCAATTTCCATCATTCCATCAATCCCAATCCATGATGCATCAAGTTTATTCGTGATTGCAGATATCTCTTGCCAAGACTGTTGATGTTCCATTAAGGAGAGGGGCCGCGGAAGGAATAGACGGGAAGGATGAGAAACCTCGAAGACCTGCGTCGGGGAAAGCAAAGAGTATTCGTGCCTCCGGACTTAGGTAAGCATGGTAAAAGGTTGTGTGGGAGAAATGCAAGGAATCTTGCTTGTTGTTGTGTGCGTTTGCTTGATGGGAATTTGGGAAAGTAAGGAAAATCGGCCGAAACGAGATGAGAAATGGGCCGTGCATCCGGTAGTGGTGATTCTGATCATGACCAGGGGCTCACCACGTTAATCCTCTAGGAGTCTAGTGTTGCAGTTCCTGTCACGGCTGGAGGAGCTCCAAAACCTCCTTCACTCCTTGGTTCACAGCCCTGCACCTTGCGATCTTCGATTGCTTTGAGAGACGGGGCCCGCTACCCCTTGCCTCCTTATCTTTCTGCAATTAGCAACTAGCAACAATCTGATGATCATGGGCTCGTTCCATGTTTGGCCGTGCAAACAACAACACAAACCAAACATTCATTTGAAGTGATGTTTGCACTCTACAGATACTTGCAATCTGATTGTGTCTTGACTTCATGGTCGTTCCTTCCATTCCAACAAAAAGCTTAGGGTGCATGCCAAGGTCCTAGAGCATGGGGGAAGGTGCAACTTGGGAGAGGCACAGCTGGCAGGTACCGGAGCTACCTGGTACCCACGCACGTACCTGCCCCCATGTCTGCCGCCTGCCCAGCCGGACCTTCTTGTTCGACCTCGACCGAGCACGTTCTTGCCCTGGCATCTGATACTGGATGCGGAACTTCTTTCCTTTCCCATTGACACTCGTCTTTGAAGTTTGATATGCTCCAACCTGAAAGCAACACTTGGGATTGTTGTCTCACTCCCAGTCTCTCTCTCCCCGTCTCGCCATCTGCATCTACCAAGCCTCTTCTCTTCATGTTATCCGCCAGTGGCATCACCATGGTCCATAAATCCTCCTGCACCAAAGCCAACGCAAGGGCAAACTCGCCATACCCCAACGGTTCACCACCACTTGCTTTCTGACCAATGGCGCATGTCTTCGATTCGACGCCTCTACATGAAAAATGAACAATGAAGCTACGCTGCGTAGCTGCTCTCCGTGGCCCCACCATCACCAACAACATGGAGCATAGGTCGTGACCAGGATGACGCCGCATTGCCGGAACAGAAACATAGTTTCGAGGCCGTCGAGGGTTTCCAGTCCCCACGCTGCCCTGCGACATGCGTCCTGCGCAGCGCGCTTGCTTCCCCTGCACCCACCGGGGCACCAAGGAGGTCCAACAGCAAGCAAGTTGGCAATCACTGCGCGCGCGGCGCGCCCCTTTTGTCCACAACCATTTGGCTAGGAACAGTGAACTGCGGTCACATTGAACCCATGCCGTCCTCGAGTCAAGCTGTCGCCATGTTGCGTCTGCCCTAGCACCTGCGGCTGCGCATACCTCGCCATTCCCCGTCTACGTCTAGGATACACTCTCTACTCGTACGGATACATGACGCCTCTACGGAGTACCCAGCGACTGTACAAATATAGATACTGTACAGAGTATGCGGAGTACCACGTTCTGTACGGCTACAGAGTGGTAAGAGTACACTAGAGACCAGACTGCGCAGTAACCTCTCTCCCTCCCATGGTCCATCCGTCCATGGTCCTTCAAGTCCTGTCACCTGCGGCTTGCCCCATCATCCACGAGCCCTGGACCATTTCCAATGGCACAATGCTGCCCCCAATTCGGAAGCGTCGTGTCTCCGGCCATCCTCTAGCGGTGGCCGTCATCGCCGTGGGCCATGGGCCGCCGTGGACCATGAACCATGAATGATGGACCGTGGGTCTTCGCTATGGAATTGTGGCTGCTGTTGGGGCAGGGCCGGACTGATGTTTGGTCTGCCCCCAAACTCGATCCCAAACTCTAACTAAGCCCATTCCTGGAAGCCTTTTTTGTCCTGGTTCGTCCTCGCCGTCGTTCCAGACCTACTCGCCTCCACGCCTTTCCCTTCCTGTACTTCGTCGAGAAGCCGCTACTCTTCTTTGTAATGCTTGTCCCCCCATCTTCTTTCTTCTCTTGTCCTACTTTACTTTAGCTTAATCCTCCGTTTCCTCGTCTTGCTCCCCGAGAACCCCCTTCCCCCATCTCTGCCAAGGAGACCCGTTGGACCTGTTCCCCTGCTCAGACAACGTCAGCTCGTTTCGGTCCAAGCCCTGCAGTCGTCGTCCGATCTTGGATCCCATGACCGCGCATGTTCCAAACAAAACTCGACAACGGCCGGACTTGACACCTTACCTCTGCGTAGTTACTGTAACATCGAGTTTCAATTACGGCCAACGGGACTCTTTCTTGGACGCTTAATATCATTGTGAGCTTTGTCTTGGCACTCAACATTGGCGCAGACTTACACAGTAAACCCTTCTAGAACCTACATAGATACACTCCGTATTCCGAAGACGACGACGACGGCATCGAAGACGATTCGACCCGAACCGAATCTCATCGCATCGGTACGCCCATAAGTATCAGAATGCCGAAATCGGGGGACTTTGCCTACGCTGAAGAGCGGTCTTCGTCGTCTGTAGAAGACTTCGACCTCGACGATGAACATAAAGAGCCATTGCTACCCGGCTCGGCCTCAATCGCGCGCAGGAGGCGGCGAGGAACGCTACTTGCATGGCTCAGAGGACGGCCAAAGTCGTTGCTGAGAAAGTTCCGTCGACAACCTCGATCACTCCCACGACTATTACTCCGATACGCTCTTATGTTCATAGTCTTCATTCTTGTTACTACACCGATATTCTTCCCGTCGTACACGCGCCACCCGAAGCACTATAGGGATCTGAGGAAAAGATGTTTGGTGTCCGACAGCCTGTCTGGTTGCGCCAACATGCCAAACGAAAAGGTCTTTATTGCCGTCAGTCTGTTTGATCCAGAGGGCAAGATTGCAGGCGGAGAATGGGCCAAGAATGTGTTGGATTTGATCCACATGCTCGGCGAGGACAATACATTCCTCAGCATCTACGAAAATGACAGCGGTGATTTGGGCACTGCTGCGTTGGAGGAGTTCAAGAAAAATGTGCCATGCAAGCACAAGATCGTCAGCGAGGGTCAGGTTGACTACAACGTCTTCCCGCATGTCACCATGCCTGATGGAACACAGAGGTTGAAACGCTTGGCGTATCTGTCCGAGATGCGCAACCGCGCCCTCTATCCATTGGACCAGTACGACACGGATGCAGGGATTGTCAAGTATGACAAGATCCTGTTCCTCAATGACGCCCTTTTTGCGCCAGTAGACGCCGCCCATTTGCTGTTCAACACGAATGCGGGCGAAGACGGCCGAGCTCACTACCTTTCGGCGTGCTCCTTGGACTATGACTGGAACCCCTTCCTCGAGTATGATCTCTATGCGCAGCGCGACGCTGAAGGTTACTCGAACGGCATACCAATCTTCCCATACTTCACCAACAAGGGCCAGGCGGCCTCACGCAAGGCCATGATCTCGCAGACGGATGCGGTCCCCGTCAAGAGCTGCTGGGGTGGAATGGTGGCCATGCAGGCCAAATACGTCCAAAACATGGATAAGAAACTGCCGACCAAGGACTGGCAGGCTGTTGCGCACCACGTCATTAACCCGGACCACCCTCATAACGCGACGACACCCGTCCGATTTCGCTACGAACCCGAGGTCTACTTTGACGCATGCGAATGCTGTCTGTTCCTTGCCGACGTCACGAGTGTTGCGGACAAGGCTGGCGAGCCGGACATGGGCGTCTTTGTGAACCCATACGTGCGCGTGGCCTACCGTAAGAGGACCCAGCGCCTCGAGCGTGTTTTTCGTCATTGGGAACGGCTCATGGCCCTGCCTCAGGAAATCATTACGTACTTTTCACGATTCCCGACCCCGAACCCCCACAGAGAGGTTGTCGAAGGCCAGCGCTTCATGGAGGAGATTTACCAGCGCCGGGAAGGGTGGAAGATGGTTGAGCGGACAGGGCGCAACGGCATGTTTTGCGGAGTACGGGAGATGCAGCTCATCAAGGAGGGCCCACGTAACGGACGCAACTGGGAGAACCACTACAACATCCCGTGGGCGGAGCAGACGTTGAACTTTCCCATCTGATGTTTTTTCCGATTTTGACGAAGTTTTAACTGATTGGTGTAATGGGAAACACGGCGCTTGTGGTTGGGTTGATTAAGGAGCATCAGCATCATTTTTTGTTCGGCAGCATTGTATCAACCTGTTGGGCATATCAACATTGGCTCGACACGGAGAACGTTGTTGGGTAGGCTGTCTGCCATCTAGAAGACGGGGTGAAAAGGAGACGGGGGAAAAGGGGGTTTTTGAAAAAATTGCCGTATACGTACTGGCACACTTTGTGCACCTTGATACCACTTTCATTTATACTTTTGAATACACTACTATTGACCATTCCTCTCCATGGCCGCTGCCACCAATCGTCCCTGGCAGGATGATCTCGTCATTGGACTATCGTGAGTGAGTTGGATGAGTGGTTGCGAGTGTCCCGGGCACCATTCGTAAGCTACATTAGATAGGCCTACATACCCCCCGCAGCTGCCCTCACGTTGCAGAATTGATGTGATTTCCTCTGAAAGCCGAATCGTTTCGACGTCCATCTTTTGCGCCAGTCAAGCCGGAAACCCCCACGTCATCAAAGACGCTCTGGAAACACGTTGGGCCTTGGGACAGAAGATGATTTGAACAAAGTTGATTCATAATTCACTGTTGAGTTGGACCCCTGTTCGGTCCTTGCTGCAGTAAAAGTAACAAGACTTGAAGCAAACCAGACCAGCCCAGACCCAGACCCAGACCCAACGAGTAAGACACCCTATTTGCATTTCCGCCCCATGGTCCAAACCCCAAACGTTGCACAAAGACAGAGAGAGATAGAGAGAAGGTAGCCTCCAAAAACAACATGCGGACGAGGCGCGTATAGCCAGACAGCAACCCGAGAGAGAGGACGCCCTACTAGTAGTAACCCAAAGTCACAAACAGCAAGCCCAAAAGTCCGCTCGCTCAACAACAATCAAGGTGGTATCTTGGAGGGAAAAAGACACTAGCAAGCCCCGTAATGAAGATGGGAAAAGCCTCACATATGCGCGAAGCATGCTTCAAAGAAGGCTGGGCGAGGAACGCATCGTCGAGGCGAGTGACGGATGATTTAAGAGGGAGACAGAGTCAAAGCCATAGAAAAGGAGAGAAGCAACCAAGAGACACACTTAGGCGGCGGCGGGTGTCGCCTTGGCCTTGGTGGTCTTGGGCTTGGTCTCCTTCTTGCCTGCCTTGGTGGCGGCGGCGACCTTGGTCTCTGCCTTCTTGGCTACTGACTTGGCCTGCGGAAAGGTTTGTTAGCATCAAGTTCAAATGTCAAAGGGTGACAAGAGATACTAGAAGAAGAGGGTCTGATCGTAGGGGTTGGGCAGGGGTAAGGATCTCGTCTAGGACGCGCGAGTTTCGTGCCCAAGCTTTTCAAACACAGAAAAAAAATCATAGAAGCATGTCCGGGTAAGATTTGTGATCCGGAGAAGTAGGAGAAGTTGCAGGTGGTTGCGGTGGAGAGCTGCGCGCCTCAGGAAGAGAGGCAAGGCAGAGTGCATCGCGAACATACCTTGGTAGTAACAGAAGGGCCCTTCTTGGCGGTGGTAGCTTTCTTCTTGGTGACGCCGACGGGCTTTGCGGCCTTGGCAACAGTAGAAGTGGTCTTGGGCTTCTTCGCGGTCGTGGTAGTCGTGGTGTTTTGCTTGCGAACAGGAGCGGTGTCGACGACGGGGAAGAGACGCGGCTTAGAGTTGCCGGTCTGGGAGCGGGTGCCTTCACGGGCCATTTTGACGCTTGGCCTGGTATCGCAATGGAATATTAGTTATTGGGATTCGATGAGTGGATTGACGCGATCGCGGTAGATGTAATGCGACGAGAAGAAGATGTTGTGGTTGTGAATGCGCTCGTGAGAAAAAGACGAAGAGAGTGTAGGAGGGGGAACCCAAGAGGCGTATGGCGATGGCGCGATGGGCGGGAAAAACGGGCCAAAAGTGTGTGATTTGGAAGACTTACGGATGGATGAAGATGAGGGAAAAGTGACGCGTTCGAGCTTTCTGAAGCTGCAGAATCGAATTAATCCAAAGGATGATGGAGAAGGTGATGTTTGCGACGAAAAGTGGCGGAATGGCGAGGTGTTGTTGTGGAAGAAGAGAAGATGGGAGGTGACGTGGTTTCGTGTTGCGGCGCGAGAGGAGGGGAGGGGGGAGGACTGCGGATATGGCTGATTGAGTGCTGGCAGTCGGTGGTGCTGGTGGTGGACGGTCACAAGGGGCACACACACACACGTCTTCACACACACACACACACACCTTTTCGTTCGGGAGGAGCGGTGTCGGAACACATCTTTAGGAAATTGGATTATCGTGGACGCTGTGGATAGAATTGATTTTCGTGTTGCCTGTTTTCACTCGGCTAACTAAATTATCTTTCAAATGAATGGAGTAAAGCCATAACTTCTTTCCTAGAGAGTCGGCGAAATGATGAAATGGAAGGAGCACCTTATTGACCTTGGGACGGCAAGATGGAGGGAAGGAGAGAGGCAGAGGCAGAGGCAGGAAAGAGCGGGACAGGTGGTGAGCTTAGAGGGAAAGAAGGCACAAGATCTGGATGGGTTGGGATCTGCCCGAATGGGCGCCCAGCTGCGTCTGATACTTTCCCTTTTCTTTACCTTTGGAGTCTGGGCAGGAAGGTAAGGTAAGGTATCTAAATGGTAAGGTAGACAGGCACCTACCTGACTCCCATCCTTCCTGCTCTTTGGCTCAAACAATTTGTTTTGATTCTTCCCCGTCATTTTTGGCGTCTCATCAAACACGGCATGACGGCCTATCTCGCCCCTTCCCACTTCATTCTTTACCACAGACTACAGTACCTACCTACCTTGGGTTGGCAGTCACGCAGTGTTCCCCCTTTCCCTTGGCTCTGTGCTCCATTTCTCTTGAATCTTCCCCTCGTCCTGCCCTTGTCGACCCTCTCTCATTTGCATTTCCCTCACGTATTCCTTTGCCTTTCCCCTCTTTTTGCCTTTTGCTCTATTCCTGATTTTACCATGATTTTCTTCATCAATTTTCCCGCCTCGGCGCAGACCCGGCAATACAGCGATGCCTTAGTACCTGGTTGATGAGTTGGCGTCCTTCTTATCTCCCACCCGAGTCACCTCTCACCTCCAGCCTCCCCAGATTCGGCGTGGGGTTTGGCTCATGTCAAAATGTCCTTTCGTCTTCTTTGACTACATTTCTAATGATGCAGTCAGGTACTTAAGCGCTTTCCAGTCTGCATACACCGTCCCTGGAATTGTTGCAGTGGCCAACGTAATCAATTTCCAGGCGAGATTTGGCCACGACAATCCCACCAGACGGTGCGGATAGACCAAGCACATGATGAACCCAAGCGAAGGACGCGCCAGTTCTAGACCGACCGAAACCAACCCCGGCACGCGACGTCTGGCGCCCAACTCCCCGGTCTCTGGAAGTCTGCTTTCTCGTTTCCGAGCCCATTGCGACGGATCAGATGGCTTACGGCCTACCGCTTATTCTTACGGATGACGGACGCCTTCGCCGAGATTCCCCTCCACCGTGTCCACATTCTACAGTTTCGACTACGGATGTTCAGTATAAAGTCATCGACTCTTCAATCTTCATGCTTCTTCAGCGGTAATGGCCACCTGAACCATGCAGCACAAGCGTGCCCCATGACCACAGCAAACGTCACGCCCGCTCTCGTACCCATTTGCTTTCCTCAAGCTGCTTCACATGGCAACGTCTTCATGTTAAGGGTCTATTCCCGCATGTTGGAGTGCCAGACAAGGAAAACAAGAATGACTAGGAGCATCCGAAGAAACGGGATGAGGTGATGATGGCGGAATGGGAAGACTGTTCCTTCGCCATTCCCTTCACCCACAGCACACGCACGCCTCGTACACAGAGAAAACGCCCAGGGGATCTTGGCCACGTCCCACAGCGATCATCGTTCCAACGGCGCGCCCAAAGGTCCCCCCCGCCGCCCTATCTGCACCAAGGGTCTGTCCGTGCTGGCCCTGCTGCTGCCAGACCGTTGAGCCCCGCAAACACGCTCCTCTCAAGTCAATCTTCAGGATTCCACACTGTACGACCCCGCGCGACAACTTTCGAAGCCATTCAGAAGTTCCAATGTCCACGTTCCATGTTCAGTACTTGCGCTTATGCCAGCCATGCGGAAACCAAAGACCAAAAGTGGAAGTGTTTGAAAGAAAGTTGAATTTGACGGCTCGCGTCTATGTACAAATCGACCGTTCAACTCCCTTCACCACCAAGTTCGGCCCCACGCCTTCACCCGCACCGAACGAGTGTCCCACGCTGTTCCAAACTTGCCCTGGGTTCGTACCTATATGCATGCTTTCTCAGGTCCGTGTGCAAACTCTTGAGCTCCTTGTTCAATTTCTTGCTACGTCCCAATATCTCTTTTGCACCTTGCATCATGGCTTCGTCTGCCTGGTTCAACTTGCTCACTTTCTCCCGGATCGCCTGCGTCCGCCGCCGCTCACACGACAAGTGGCCAATGTTGACAGTCGTCACTTTGTTGACCTCAATCATGGTCGCCCCAGGCCGCTGTGCCACTGCCTGTACTTGACGCCATTTGGTCTGCAGCTTCAACTGTAGAATGAAACCCCTGGCTAGCAGCCGTAGTTGGTCAACTTCGGCGCTGACTACAACTCACAACGGTGTCAGCTACCACATTATCGATGGTTTGTCAGGGAACCGGAGGACCTGCTTACACTCGACAACGCTTTTGCTCAACTCGGTCCTTGTGCGGCTGATCTCCAACGAACGGCGTACCAACTTGCTCGCCGCGTCCTGTTGTCGTTGGCGATTCGATTCCCTGACTTTGATAACGAACGACTGAAGCACTCTTCTCCACCATCTTTCCTTGCTAGGTTGAGCCAGCTGCTTTCGGTCCTCGTAGCTCGCCGAATCTCTAACATCCTCAATTTCAACAACAGTCACCTTGCCTAACCCCCAGTCTTTCTTTCCGCAGAGAGTCTTCTCAGACGTGGACTCGGATGCGACCGACATACTGTCTGTTGCGGCATTTGCCCGTTCAGACGCTACTTGCAGCTGATTAGCAAGGGTGATCGCCTTGTCCACTCGGCTCTCGGTGCCTTGAGATTGCACCGCAACCTTGCACAAGGACAGAAGCTCGTCGTACCACTTCACAACCTTCTTCGTTGTGAAGACAGCCAAGTCAACGTCGAGCTGAAGAGGGTCCGAACCGAGGACCGAAGAAAACATAATGGCATTCCAGAGAGGTTGTGTGTTGTCGTCGCTCCGGTCGACTCGCCTGCGAGCCTCTCGAAGGGCGGTGGACCTCGAGGTGGTCGCCAATGTCATTCCACGAACGGGGTCAGTTACCTGAGCATAGGGCGTCAGCGTTCTGCACACGGACACAGTCAATCGGCCTCGATACATACCTCCATGTACTTAAGAAGAAGCTCCTGAGTTGCCTTCTGGGCACTGCCACTTGGCCCGCCTTGCTCACGGGGATGGCAGTAGTAGCCTGCCGGCTCGATGCCCCAAGGTGTGGTCCATTCTCCAGCAATGCGAGGATGACAGGCAAACGAAAATACTTTTCCCCAGTCGAGAGTGCCTCGCTCATCGGTATTCGCCTTGGCCAATCCTGACATGATGTCTCTGAGTACTACCATGGTATCCAGAAACGCACGTCTTGCAACGCCCATTTGATCATACGTCAGCCATTTATGCATGAATCTCATCTACTCCATGTTAGTGACGCTTGAACGAAGGTGGTTTAATAGGCAAGCAGTTGACTTACTTCCAAAACCACAATCTTGGTTGTCTTATCTTCGGTGTTTTGCCCACACGCCAGCCTTTTCGCAAACAGATCCCATCCTGTCAGTTGCTTTTTGTGCTTGTCAAGAAGCAGGTACTTCCACAATGACATGAGGCATTGAGGAATATCATCTCGGCTCGCGTAATAACGACACTTCAGGTCGAAGCTGAGCCGGTCCTTCGATTGCTCCTTGGACTGCCGCTCTACCGCCTTGGCGTTCGTCGTTTCGGGCTTGACCCTCAGGGGCTGCGTTTTAATGGCGATGCAGATTGAAATCGGTAGCATAATGAGAGAGGTACTAAGCTTGGCATGAGAATCTTGAAATGCGAGCGTCCTCACGGGCTCATATGTAGAGAAGGCACATACCCTTATGGGCGTGGTACAACCTTCGTAGGCCGGGTCTCGACTTGCTCAGCAACCCTGTGGTTCTTGACTGCGGATTAGTCCATTTGTGACTCCTGGTGGCTTACCCATCGCATGTGCTTCCCGCTGGGTTCGTCAAAGATGGCTTCAAGAGTCGGCGACATTTTCTCCCGAGTTGAAAGCTGTCAGACTCATAAAGTCGTCGGTGAAGGCAACTTTGCATGACGTGTTCGTCAATTCAAAAACTCTCATGGCAGCCACGCGAGATACATCACCTTGACGGCCTACTTGACTAATGGTTTTGTGATGGTCCTGAAAACAGCGGAGTGTGGCTTTTTGAATCTCTACAGACTTTCGGGTCCTACAGCGGCTCGGGAATTCTCATTCTTCGACGACCTGTCATGGACTATTTATTGAAAACTAACCGGCTGTTTCTTCCTCATCCATCTTCAGTGAACTATACCGCAAACTCAAGTGGCTGTTGTTGTGCTTTTATGACTAAATCTTGCCCCTACTTCACTCTCTTGCGGCTTGTGACACGACCTTGGTGGAGTTTAGAGTGAAGGCCTTGATGGAGTCTAGGGACGTTTGACATCTTCACGAGCGAAGCCGAGGTTCTTCATCGAGTCTAAAGTAGCTTTCATCTGTGTTCTACAGTCCTTCAAGGTCAAAGTGAGCCAGATTCGAATTGATTGTGAAATGTTCCCTGTCAGACAGCTGAACAGTGACCCTCTGGATGCGGAATAAGACTTGAGGTATCCAAATCATTTGCACTCCTAGGGGCATGGGACAGGAGCTTGAGGAATTATGCCTCTTTCTGATAATTTTTGGCTTAAGCTTCGGGCAGAAGACGTTCTGTAATTAAGGACGGTCGATTTGCGTTCGAGACCACGCCGCTGACGCGGTATTGTTGTGGAGGGGCTGAGCGGAGGTGACCTCACCACTCCCGTCATCGTCCGCTCATCTACACGCTGTTTATTTAATGTCTCCAAATGACATTGACGTTTCAATCTTCGTAGACTTTTGGTTAGAGAAGGAGTGATACTGTATCCTGGCGATGCGTGGACTTCAAAAAGTATCTTTTGCACCTCCGAGCGAGAAGGGATTAATCCCCAGGCTGGTATTTTCACTGAGAAGTAAACATGGAGCATCAGAATGTTTTCACCGCTGGCTCCACTTGAGATTGAGTAATATCTCCGAGCTATCGATGCTTGAAGCTATCTTGACTGTGATCAAATAGAAATATAAGATTTCAACAACAGTCTGCTGCTAAACTCAATGGCAAGCTCTTCAATCCAGTCGACAATTTCTCATCAAGATTTACTCGATAATCGTGGAAACCAAGCCATTTCTCTCCACTATCATCTTAGCCTGCTATACCGGGCTCACCTCATACTCCCCTATTCAATCTCACCCGAAATGGCAAAACCTCTCTGACATAACCCATCTTCTCTCACCGAGAACACAACGGCGTCTTCGTCCCACCAGATACCATCGCCATTCTTTGAAGGGAAGGTTTATATTCCTGGGGGTGGGCTTCGCTCTGGAGGGGCTCCTACTAGTCACTTTGATGTTTACGTGCCTCGACTTTGTGAAATCCTTGTAGTCATGCTGATGTCCTGTCTGCGAGGCTCTAGACTCCTTGTTCGCCAAGGAGACCGCTGACCATGAGGGCATCTTCAAGCCGCTACACGAAATGCCCTGAAAAGGGGCTAGAACTTGTACTTTTTCTATCCTTTCTAAAAACTTGATTGTACTCTGGCCAACCTTGAAGCACAGCGCCGATCGTCTCTGATTCTCCATGTATGTTCGTCATCTTCTCAAAAGAGAGTGATCAGCCATTGCCCATCTCTCTCCTCCACCGCGCGGCAAACTTCCACTGCACCCCCGCACCTATAAGCGCAACCAGTTATGCCACAACACACACAGTGAAAGCCCATCCTACACCAATCCCCTTCACCATAGGCATCACAAAGCTTGTACCGCCAGCGGCGAAAAGACACCTGGCGAGGTTGACGCTAGCACTAGCCGCGGCGCTGCGGTCGGGGAAGATGTCGATGAGGTACGTCATGACTAGAGACTGTGTCGAAACGGCGGTCCAGCCCGTCACGAATGTCGATATGATGGTCACTGCGATGTGTACCTGGCGAGGGAAGTTGATGGTCCAGCCAAAGACCGCGATGGAGATACATTGTAGTAGCGCGAAGACTGGTATGAGACGGAGACGCGCCGTTTCGATTGGAAATCCCAGGTTGGTGTCCGAGTTCGCAAGGGTGCTGCATTCTTGGTCGTTGCTCGCATCATACTTTGCCTTGACACGCTGATAGTCAATGTCAAGGAGTTTTCCCGTGACCAGCGTCCCGATCATGGAGCCCACGCCGTTTGCGATGAACGTTAGGCCAATGCGAGTTTCTGTCAGACCGTAGCGTGATTCGAAAAGACTTGACATGGCTGTGATGCTCATCTGCCATACCGCGTAGTAGACTGCGAGGAATACCACGATAGGGGTCGCGCACTTGTTGAAGAGTATGCGAAGGGGTCCAATGATGTCAACGCGCTTGGGTGTTGTCTTATTTGAAATCGATGCGCCGACATACCGAGGGACTTGTGAGGATCCTTGGTAGAAGATTAAGGGGTACTTCCCTAGACAACCCCTCGGTGTTTTAGCACCGTTGCCGACCACGGCCCTCAGAGTCTCCGGTAGGAGCAGCGCAAGGAATGTGAGGAAGACGGCACAGTAGATGGTCAGGAACCAAAAGATACTCATCCATCCCAAAGATCCAGCCAAAGCGCCTCCGATCACGGGTCCAACGGCGACAGGAACCAGCAAGCCGGCCTGGAAGACGCCCATGTACCCGCCTCTCTCTTGCCGAGTCGTGATATCGCTGATGACTCCTGAGCCTATTGCAATGGTGCTCGCGCTTCCTGTGCTCTGTAAACATCTGAGAATGATTAGAGTCGCGTAGTTTTTGGTTTCCGCGAGGCCGATGCATGCGCCGAGGAACACGACAAAGGTGCAGCAGTAGGCAACCCGTCGGCCCTTGACGTCTGAGATTGGACCCCATATGCTTGGTGCTAGGCCTTGAAAAATGAGGTAGGTGGTTACTGTGAGATTGACGAGCTCTACTGAGACGTTTAGGTCGTTGGCAATGGTGGGGAGGGCTGGGAAGTAGATGTTCGAGGCGAAGCCTGAGACTGGGGGCTAGCTTAGCAGAGAAAGCGAGGTCTCTCAGAATCATCGACAGGACTCACAAGTGGCTGCAATAGAGACTATGGCTATGATGACTCTTTTTTGACGTTTATCAAATATGGTATATGGCTCGTGAGATTGATTAGACGAGGGGGGCACCGCCGTGATGTTGGCATTGAGGGGTCGTTCTATGCTTGGAGGGGCCATTGTGGGTTTCTGTCTCTTCTGAACAGACTGAGGGTATGTTGGTACCCATTTGAAAATGATCAACCCATCAAGACCGAGAGGACGAGGAGCTAGACTAAATACAATTGCAACAGATGCTGATGTCTTGTAATAGGCTTGGCCATGACGAACGGCCTCCGGAGCTGAGCCCCACTATTCCGGAGTTGAGACTTTGCCCCATTTTCAATTGCGACATTGAGCACCTGGGGCTGGAATCTGCACACTGCTGTGAAGTTGATACTCTCAGTAATGGGAGGAAATCTTTAAAAAAACCCCTATTCAAGGTTTTATGGGATAAGTCATGTAGACTGATTCTTGCCATCGGACAAGAGATCGAGACTCAGTGCGAAAGACCTCTTTCGGGTCCGAACCCGGAGCCGGAGAGCCAGATCCACGTGTCCCGGCCGCCGTCTGGTTCATCCGACACTACACAGACGGATCCACCGGCTTTCGTGGCCAGCTGGTTCCATCTGGCGCCCGCCTGAAGTGGACCGGAGCTTCCTTCCCGAATTGTGTGCTCCCCTTTCAGGTGAATTCACCTACTACTTCGTCCGACGCGACTTCAACCTCACTTTCGACAGCATCACATGATTGCCATTTGTGTTTCCACGGCCTGGACAATGAATAACCGGCAATATGTCGACATTCAACGGACTCGTCGCGGAGTTCCCTGACATACGAAGTAAATCTTCCCCCTAACCATGCACACCGCGCTTCGCCTGTTGCCTCCCAGCATTCACCTCACAACGTTGGGTGCGCCTTAGTGATCCGTATAGCAATCACTAATCATACCATAGTTGACTTCTTTCGGAGACATGCAGACCGCCGTCCGCCTCTCGCATGCTTCCTAAGCCATATACACAGTGATCACTTGGCAGGGCTCGACTCCCTGCGGTCTCCTTTCGTCTACTGCTCCGCAGCCACTCGGGAGATGCTCCTCCGTCTTGAGCGTTACCCTTGTCGCATCAATTACGCCAAAGGTGTTCTCGAGGCACGCGTGCAGACCTACAAGCATCTGAAGAATCTGCTCAAGCCGTTGCCCATGGAGACCCCCACGACGTTGGAGCTGGCGCCGGGTAGTCACATCCAGGTCACCCTGTTTGACGCAAACCATTGCCCAGGGGCTGTCATGTTCCTCATTGAGGATTTACATCACGCCATTCTCTACACGGGCGACATCCGGAGCGAGCCATGGTTCGTGAATACGATTGCCAGAAACCCGGCTGTTATCGAATACACCTCCGGCATGAAGACGCTCGATAAGATCTATCTTGATACCTCTTTTATCAAGGACATACCTTTCCAGACCAAGGCCGAGGGTATCGCAGGATTACTTCGCAAAGTAGCGCAGTACCCAGACAACACCGTCTTCTACATCCAAGCATGGACCTATGGATACGAACAGGTCTGGATAGCTCTGGCCAAAGCTCTCAAGTCCCGAATCCATGTCGACGACTACAAGATGCGCATCTTCTCATCGCTCACCGGCAAGACATCTAGTGATCGTTTCAGCTCCTCCATTCATCTATGTCCAGAGGCCCCTGCTCTAGCCGGCTACGTGTGTGGTAACACACCCCACCCTGGATGCCTCACTCGAGATGAAAATGTCCGACTTCACAGTTGCGAGAGGGGAAACTTTTGTAACACTGTGAAAAGTTCCAAAGTGGTGTCCATTCAGCCGGTCATTGCGCATCTTCGAAGTGGTGTTGATATTGCTGAAGTTGGTGTTGGCGGCGGCGGGGATGATTTAGAGCGCGACGCCGAACTCGATCCTCTATCAACGGAAGACATCGCTGCAATCTCAAAGCTCATTGAAGATGCGGACATCTCTCCAGAGACGAAGCTTCGTCTTTTTGAATTTCTCGAGACAGGTGCTAAAACCGGGCGCAACCTCTCCCTGGATCTCGACCTTGCATCCTTTGGAGAGAAGAATGAAGCAGCCATTATGGACGCATTTCAAGCAGTTGGTCGAAAGAAACACCTTGAAGAGCAATCCACACAAAGTTCGGAACCACTAATAGACGGACCAAGTGGAGAATTGTCGAGGGTTATCACGTTTCCGTACTCCCGACACTCGTCCTATCAAGAGCTATGCGACCTGGTCCGAATCTTTCGCCCCAAAGATGTGTGGCCTTGCACAGTGAACCCTGCCGACTGGCTCAGAAACACCACTAGTATACGATACCTCTTTGGCGATTTCTGCTCTGGCGATACCTTCGTCCATGATATGGTGATGGAGAAACTCGCCGAGAGTTTGAGGATCCTCCAACAACCGCCATCCCAAGGCTTTGGAGGCAAACAATTGCCGACAACTGAGGCTCACATCACGGCGTTGCATTCTTCGCATAGTCACGAAAGCAACGCACCCGAACCTTCCGCCGTTGCCATAGAAGAGACGCTTGTACTGGAACCCGATACCAACCCCGGTTCCGTCGAGACACGGATCCCCACACAGGAGCAGCATGACTTCTCCAGCAGACCAGGAAACTCTCAGGACACTCTGGAGTCTCCGGTTCCGCATATTGTACCAACACCACTTGTGTTGACTGCCGATATTTCCTACATTCGGGCGGATGCATATTATGCCATGAAGCAAAATTTCCTCGGCGGGGAGTGGACGCCAATTGGACTCCTCTCCACGATTGATCACCATACTACTCCAGATACGGATCTTGGAATGGTTTGAGCTTGACCAGTGTCTCAGCGATATATACTAGAGCATCACCATTGGCATGGATTCGGGCCGTCAGTCTTAGTGACTATGATTATCATTGATGATCGGGTCTAGCTTATTGATGAGCTACGCAAACTAAGGAAATAGGGTCTCAACGCCGCCATAATATAATCTCCCATGATACTGACTGGGCCATACATGGGTGCAAACTCCATTCACGTTCTGTTTGCCGCGTTATCCTATTGTGGACGCAACGCTCCAGCTTCCGAAACACCCCACCGGCCATCAATGTACTGTCGCAAACTCTTTCCCCAGAAAGCAAGGGGCACAGCGACGCCTCCCACGACGAGAAGAATAGCGCCCAATTCGAAGTTGGCACCCAGGTAACCTTGTGATCTGAGCCACGGTGTGACAGCGTAGCTCGTCGCGAAGCTCAACATGTACCCCGCTCCGCCAACGATAACCATGGCTGGCGCCGCCCAGCGAGGGAAAGCCTCAGTAACCCAGAGTGTTGACGCGATGCCGTAGGCAGCCGCGCTGAAGGCGTTGATGAGATAGGAGACGAAGATCCAGATGAAGCTCCATTTGTAATGCACAGTGAACCCATACAAGAAGACGCTGCCCGCACCAGCCAGCACAGCGGGGAGAAAGGCGATGAGGTAGTGTTCCGCATCTCGGATTCCGCCGTTGCGGAGTGTCAAACGGCGGGCAACACGCGATGTCAAAATGGTCGACACGGGCCAGGCGAGAAGGGAACCGATCGCCGAAACGGGGTTGACCATGGAGATGACACGCTCGGGAAGGTTGTACGGCGGTTGGGACATGACCACTGCGTACGTTTCGCCAATGAAGATCATTGCGCCAAAGTTGAGGGCGTTGAGGATCGCGACCCAGAAAACGAGGGGATTGCATGCGCAGAGCATCGTCTGCACATAGCACGTCCACATCTCGCTGAACCCTGCACCGCTCTTGCGCACTCCCCATCGCCTTACCATGCCCTGCCAGACGGTCTCGGGGACAGCCTCGGCCTGGATGGCCGCGCTGGCTTTTCCGCCTGGCAGCTCTTCCCAGTCGTCGTACATCTTGACCTTTTCCGAGCCACCCTGGACGAGAATGTGGCCGTCAAAGGCGACGGCTGGTCGGACGAAGTACGTCTCGGGCAGGAAGAAGAAGGCGCAAACGAACACGGCGAGGCAAGGGACGAGCCAGGCCGTGTAAAAGCTTCTCCATCCTGGGGCCGCAAGTGCCGGGACGATGCGTAGGGACACGAGGCCAGCGCCGCACCCGACACTCCAAAACATGCCTAGAGCATTCGGGCGCTCGTCGATGAAGGTCAAGTCAATGACAATCAAGATGGACTACAAAGCACCAGTCAGTCAAGCACCGGGGAAGAGAGACGGAGTTAGAAGGGCCGTTACATACCGCACTCAGGCTCAACCCGGCGGAAAACCCCTGCAAACTCAAAGCCCCGAGGAGCTGGTAGAAGCCCGAGGCATTCGCAGCCAGGGCCGTGGCGAGTGTCAGAAAACAAGACGCCAGCAAGAAGACTGGTCGTCTTCCGACGGCTACCGACAGGGGTATCCAGAGAAATGCCCCGAGACCGAGGAATATTGTGCTCGGTGTTGAAACAAGAAGATTTAGTGGAAACTTGTCGGCTTGCTGGAATAGTGTAAGTGGCGGTTTAACTGGTTTGAGGCATCACCGCCGGATGGGGGAAGGGAATTATACCTGTCCGTTGAACTCGACAGCGAGAGATTTGTACATTAGACTGGCAGCTTGCGTCTCCAGCATGGAAACAATGGAGTAAAGTATCAGTACTCCCATGGCGACGAGTCGCTTCGACAAGCTCCAGTTCAATGGGTCGTAGGGCGAATTACTCGGCATGGGTAGCTTGAGTGTCTTGCCATCGGAGGTGATGAGGTAAATGCTGCCAGAAAGGTCGGCCGAGGCCGGCCGGTCTGACGATCGACTGCTGGCGCGGCTCATCGTGTCCGTAAAAGAGGAGAATCAATGAACAAAACAGAGAGAGAGAGAGAGAGGATAGACAAAGAGAGAGACTCGTGTAATAGTGAGCGGACACGATTACTGCAAAAGTGGACCAAAATGTCAAATTAAAGACGGCCGGTGTGCTGCCAGAACAACCCGTTGTAGACGACAGCAAGCTAAGGTTGACGGGACCGGGAGGCCAGGTCCCTTAATATGAAGAACATGGAATTGTCGAGAGTTTCTGTTGACATGTGGTGCGTGGAGAAAGAGACCACGTTTGGCCTGGGTTCGATAAAATAGAGAAGTAGGGGCAAAGGCGTGCCAAACCGAAAGTTGGGAGGAAGACAGCGTACGGCATGTTCGGTCGTCGACTGTGACAATCTTTTGACGATTTGGGAAGGCATCACAAAAAGTTTATTCGAGTTAATTACAAGATACAACGGGCCAAGACCAGCAAACCTCGAGGTAGACTGTGTACTGTCGTAGAGTAGGGCTGATTTTTCTCTCTCCTTGAGCGTGCTAACCGCCATCTGAAACCCGGCGCCATGGCCCCTGGACTCTCGAGGCTTGTTCGTGAGGTAGCAAGCAAGGGGTGAATAGAGTACAGTAGGTAGCTAAGGTACGATGTGATCGTGCACAGGTTTTTCCCCTGGCGGGCGCAAGTAGTGTATCAACAACGGCGGAAGATGGTGTAGAGAAGGACGGCTGGAAGTCGGGGGGAGACTGATGGATGGGCGCCGTTCCCAGTCGCGGGGTTGGCGGGGTTCATACCTGTTTGGTTTCCTTCATCGCAAACACTTTGGAAGGGGATTTTTAGAAAGAACAGACGAAGATGAAGCCAAGCGGTGAAGCAGAGTGTGCGTGTGTGAGCAGCAAAAAAAAAAAAAAAAAAGCAAGCTCCGTCCGACTGATGGCAACAAGGTTCGTGCCTAAAGTTTAAATCGTCAATCTTGGCAGTCTATGGAGAGGCTCCAGAGGCTTAGTCGCTTGGAAGGCAATAGAGACACGTCGAGGTCGACGGGCACCCCTGGGCTATCACGGACGACTCGCCCAAAACCGTTTCAAGCGGAAGTTTATTGACAGGTTTGGCGGGCTGGGGGGGTAATGGGTTGGGCACTGGACAGTGGAGGGGTCGTTCTGCATGCTACGCTATTTGCTGGGCAGAAAGTCTGATCACGATGGAGATGAGGACTCTCCAAGTCAAATCTCGGGAAGGACTGGCCGCCAGGACGAGATTGGATCATTGGGTGCTTCTTGTCGAATCTCGGCTTGGGATCTGCCTGTCGGCACCATCCGTGCCATGGTCCCAATCGGCGGCATTTGGGGCAATATGAGTTTCGGCCGAGCCGCCGATTTAACAGCCTCGTCGTACGTAGTATGCAGATCTGTAGTCTCCCTATAGAAGAAGAAAGACGTTGGTGGTTGCTGCAAGAGAAGGGTGCTGCGAGAGAAGTATGTTACGAGAGAAGCATGCGGAAGAACGAGTTGCAATGGCAGAAATCGGACGGAATAGCTGCATTGAAGACTCCATGCACACACAAACACACACACACAACACCCTCTCGCGACCCCTTATCCAAACTGGTTGATGATGATAGGACCAGTCCGAGAACCAACGTCTCATATGCACCGCTCGCCCGTTTGAATACCTAACCGAATCCTTATTCCAAGTAGCTCTTCAGATGAGAAGTTGACGTCGTGAGAGCACGCGACTGGTTGGTCAGAAAGTTGCAATATGTCAGACTGGTAGTAACACTGAATATATTAGTCCGCGGCGGCCGAGCATCGAACACCATCGGGTTTCAGGACATTTCGTTCGTCGTAGCCCACGGTTCGTCGTATTGCCAGATCCTTCCTGTCTGGCAGTCTGCAAGACGTGCAGAATGCGGGCAATGTGCCATTCAAACGGCGGCGTGTGCCGTGTTGCGGACTTTTCCCTCGGGACCATCTAACCCAAGCATCAAGGGCTCGTTGTATGCCTCCATTCGGATCAGTGGATCGGGGCAGAATCTTCGGTTACTGATGACCAAGCAGGCAGTTTCCGTCGTAATGTACGGATATTTGTATCACTGGGAAGTGCGCGTGAAGTTCTGGCCCCAGTCCCCCAGTCCAATCCACGCAAGACGGCAAACAGGAGAGACCCTTCCTGCAATGTCGGCGGCTGGAAGAAGCCCTGGCAGAAACGGAATAGCAAGCCCTGCTTATGAGTTAGTACTTCACACCCCCGCAATCATAATGACTGACTGGGGGTCTCGGGGAATCGGGGTAGACGGAGCCTCTGCGTTTGTCCGACAATTGGGGGCCAGCGGCCAGCTTGGTGCTTCTTGGTGCTGCACTGCTGGGCCACCGGAGTCTTTTCGTGGGATGCTCACAGGTTGCCAGCTTCCGTAGGCCGGAGCCAACATGCTTTGGACTGACTGGTTGAAATGCTCCTTGGACCGTCTGCAACGAACAGGTGGTGTGTGTTGACGCGCACGAAACGCTGGCAATGAAACCAGGAGCCAAGAGGCAAATCTCGATCGAGGTCGATTCTCCCACCACCGACGGTCCAGTCTGGGCCGCCCCTCTGTGTCAAATAAACACGGCATTGGAGACTCATATTGCCATCGGTCGCGGGCGTTCACGTCGCTTTCGCTGTTGCCACGCTCTGATACCTAGTTTACCTTGAGAAGTAAGTGATGGTTCACGCCGTCCGTCCTTCTGATATCCTTCTCAAACAACTTCGAAGATCCAGATGGACAATTACTTCTCTGGCGTTGTCCCCCCTCGTCTGGTATCGCTCAGTCTGACCAGTCAGCAGTTCGGCCCAACGAACTGCAGCAACGTTGCAACTTACAAGCCAGTGTTCATCAGGAACGGCGTAGTCCTTTGGCCATCCACCCTTTCGGCCCTCACGAAGCTCTTCGGGTCCGCGTCTCAGAATTACGTGAAAAGCTGCCAGTCACATTCGCATCCGAAAACGCGCACAGCATGGCGATAGTACATGACCATTATCAATGCAAAGACGTCAGGAGGAGAACCCAAAAGGCTTTTTGATAAGTGTTTTGCAATTACTGTTCATCATCACATGCTCTCAGTTTCGCAACGCGATTTTTTTTTTTTTTTTTTTTGGCATGAAGTCGCATGTCGAGCGCGACTCAGTTTGAGTACGTCTTGTCACCCTTTCAGCAGCGGCGCAATGTGCCCCGAAGGTCAGGGGTTGGGTGGCTGGCTGCGGCCTGGCCCTGAACGCTGAATACATGTCCCGAACTACCGATGGAGGCCAAGAGTGAAAGATAGAGACTCTGGGATTTAGCCAGTGGGATGTCCGTATGATGCTAAGACATGCCTCCAGGGAGAATGAGGCAAAGCCGACTGATCTCCTTCCATAGAATCCCATGTTCAAAGTGACCAACAAGTCTCAAATTCCCAACGGCTCTTCGCCCAGGTTTTCCCACAAACATGGGGGCGGGCGGCTTTCACGGGACCTACCACAGTCTGTATCCGTCGTACAGGAGGCTTGTACGATTCCGTCCATGGCACGCATACGTGAGACCGGGGTTTGATTGGATAGAACGACAGACCGTGACAAGGATGCCGCCCAAGGAAGAAGCGGCCTCTCTGGCCGGGAAGACTCTCAGAGACTCTGGCAAGTCTGGAGACTCTGGAGGAGGCCGTTCCAGGCTCCGACCAACCCACGCTCAGAGGGAGATTCCGCACATTAGCCGTGGCGCTGCTGCGCGGATTCGCGGCCCGGCGGGCAGGTCGTGATGGGGCCACGAGCGCTCAATCTGCCCGTAAGCTCCGCGGCGCCCCCTCCCGTCCTGTCCTCTTTTCACCCGGAAGAAGACGGTCTTGGTGCAAGTGAGGGCTTTGAAGCAATCTATCTCGTCGCAGATGGATGGTTCCCCCCCCAGACCAAGCCCAAAACGGCCGGACCAGCTTGTCGGCCCTGTATCCTGTTGTTCCTATGGCCATGCTGACGCTAAGGTAAATATGAGAATTGTGGACACATTCTGCGTCGTGCTGCGGGCCGTGGCCTTGAATCCCTCGATGATAAAGTCTTCGTGATGCCCCAAGAGTATACACGTTGTGCGAGTTACTTTGATTTGAAAAGGCTCTCCTGTGAATTCTGTAGATTTCCAGCCACATCGACGCTCTTGCAGACATTACCTTCGTCTTCTTCAAGGCACAGTACAAACGGACAGACGCCAACTACCATTTCTTACCACTTCGGCCGTCTAGGTCCGCCACTATTTCCAACCCTCTTTGGGAAGGTCACGAGGTGCCATTCTTCACTCGATTCGGAACTGCTATCAAGAAAACCACCGAGCGACACTAGGCCCAGAACTTGCTCTGTTCCTGCGCCGCCGCCCGCTGTCTGTCCGGGTTTTTGGATCAATACGTCTGCAGGACAGGAGTTGTCTCCGTTTTCCACCACTTGAGAATAACATCCGTTGAAAGCCTACGACATTGTGGTGTGGTTTGCGCCGTCACGAGACATTTCGGGATATATATAAAAAGAAGACTATTGAGAACCGGTTTTACGCGTTGCGCTCGTTCGCTCCTTGAGGAGCCTTGCTTTGAGACAACGATTGGATCAATTGACAGCGTCAATCTCATCTCGGCCAGCCGGATACGATATTCGATCTCACTTTCCATAAGTCTCAACAACACAACGCACCAGTCTGACAGTCACTTGAGCACTTGAACTTTCCGCTCTTGCCCTCTATTCGAGAACTAGACCGGGCCATAAGCAGCATTGATCATTTATCGGAAATCGCATCTGTTGGCTGGCAAGAAGTTCTGTTGAGCAGGACTTGCACTGAGCAGTTGCAAACCTTTTGGTATCTGTACATACCTCAACCTGTCAGTCGGCTGCAGGACTCACGCATAGGCGTGTATCAGTGTTAGTGTGTGCATCCAGACACACTGCTGACGCCGCTCTCGACTCGAGAGTCTCGAGTAATAAGAGTTACTTGAGTCTCTCTCCCCCACTACACCCCCCCTTTCGATCTCTGGGCGACGGCAGCTCGGATGATCTTGGCCCGCTGGGCCGCTGGCCCCACCGAGGCGCCCCCCGCAAATGAGGAGGGGGGCAAAGGAGGAGGAGAACATGGAGATGGAGGAGATGGAGGAGGAAGAGGAGCAGCAGTTGGGGGAGTTGGAGATGCCGGCAACACAGCGATCCTGACCGAGACAACCAGTAGCAACACGAGCTCAGGAAGCACAACACCAGCTCCCGCTGCACCCTCCTCGTCCGTCAAGTCCCCCAAATCACGGCTAGGGAAGAATACTACTCGCAGGGGCCTTGGGTCAGGTACACGTACAGGGTCAAGCAGCAGCAGCGGAAGCGGAAGCGGTGGGAGCATCGGGGGAGGGATACCGTTATTAGGAGGGATATTAGGAGGAGGACCTGGACAACCATCAGGAGGAGGGCAAGGAGGAGGAGGAGGAAGACGCAGGACTTCTTCCAGAATTCTTAAGACGACCCCACCGTCGTCCACCGCCGTGTCCCGGGCCACCTCCGTCTCCCCTACCTCTACTCTCCTCACCTCGCCCCCTTCTTCTGCGGCCATCACAGCTGCAACTTCCGCCGCGACGACGCGCTCGTCCACCTCGACTCCCACTGCTGCAGTGGCCGGCGCCGCCACAGCTGCAGCCGCTGCAAGCCGCAAGGTCTTCCCCAAAAGTATGGAGCCCCCCGTCGTCTCCTTTTACGGGGCCGAGCCCATCCCGTTGCCGTCGCGTTTCGCCGGCGTCAAGAAGCGGCTCATTGCCGGCCACGAGGCCGCCGTTGAGGCTTCGTGGCACCGTCTGATTGATGCTCTACGGACCGAAATTGCAGACATTTCGAGGCGTGGATCGGAGCTGATCCCGTCCATCAACTTCACTGACATCAATGACCCTGTCCGTGTCGAGGCCTTTGCGCACAGGCTGCGCCGATATGGTGTAGCCGTTATCCGCGGCGTTGTGCCGCCCAACGATGCTCAGAAATGGGTGCACGAAACTCACGATTATCTCGACAAGAACCGCGAGTTCAAACCACCCGCACTTCACGATCCTACTTGCATTGATCTCTTCTGGACGCCCGTCCAAGTACGTGCCCGCGCGCATCCAAACATGCTGCGCGCGCAGAAGTTCGCCATGTCCTTCTGGGAATCGACAGACGACGTGCACATCACCCGCGCACCCGTAAGCTACGCAGATCGTTTGCGCATTCACAACGACAAGCTCGGCGCCGTCGGCCAGCCTACCGGAAACTCGGCCGCAGACTCTCTTAGCACCACTGCCTCATCGACCGTAATTGCGCAAATCGACAGCGGCAGCCTGGAACGCTGGGAACCGGACGGCTACGGCCGCGGCGGCACCTACGAGGCCGTCTTCCGCGGCGACTGGGAGTCCTACGATCCCTGGGACCCGGCCGGCCGAGTCGGTGCCACGACGGATCTGTACAACGGCGCGGGTGCCTGCAGCGTATTCCGCATGTTCCAGGGCATCCTCGCGCTCACCGAGGTTGAGCAGGGCATGGTACGCGTGCTGCCGTCGCCCAAGCTGGTGGCCGCGTACTTCCTCCTACGGCCATTCTTCTCGCCGAAGCGTGGGCCGCCAGAGCAGCCGGATGGCGGCAAGGCGGACCAGTGGGCTGCGTATCTCGATGCGTCCAACTGGACTCTCGATCTGGAGCCCAATACCATCATCCACGGAGCTGTTCCGGGCCATGCTCAGCGTCTCACGGAACGCTGGCACCCGCATCTGCATCTGCGCAGGAGTCTGGTCTCTATGCCTAGCTTGCAGGCTGGTGACTACGTTATTTGGCAATGCGATCAGGCCTACTCGATCATCACGGGTGGCACCAGACTAGGTGTTCCGCCGTCGTTGCAGAACGAGTCCAACGAGCTCTCCCTTCTCACGTACACCCCCGTCTGCCCCCTGACGCAAACAAATGCCCTGTTCCTCGCTCGCCAGAGAAAGGCATTCCAGACCGGCCAGCCGGGACCGGACTTTGACACTCTCGGTGGATTGGGCAGCGAAGCCTCCCATCAAGACCGTCCCGGTGCCAAGGAGGTCGAGGAATATGGCGGAGTCGATGGCCTCCGCGCGATGGGATTGGCGCCCTACGATACCGAACCAGCGGGTGTTATCCCGCCCAAACACGCGGATGCCATGGACATTGACGATGAGGAGGGCATCAGGAACAAGTCAAAGACGGAAGCGGAGACAGAACTCCTCCGACTGGCCAACATCATCCTCTTTCCGAGTCGCTACGATTTCTACATTCCTACAAATGGCACCCGGAGCAGCGGCGATCGCACCCCTCGCGCGACGGCGGGGCCGCCCAAGACGGTGGTCAACGGCAGTAAGAGCAGTGGCAAGAGTTGACGGCGTTGGTTGAAGGGGCGATGGCGGCGCGGCGGCCGGCGACAGGTAGACTCGTCGGGTAGGGAGATCGAGGAGGAAGAGGATGACGATGACGATGAACCAGACACCGTTGTTGAGAATGTGACCTCTAAGGGGGCTGAGGAGACCATCACAGTCACGGTCACCTCGGCGGAAGTCTAGATTGCTGTTTTTCTTACCGTGATACCCTGCAATCGGGCAACCCGTCGAAGGAGGACCGGGTTATAGAGGAGGAGATTGTTAGAGAGAAAGAGACAGAGAGAGAGAGTCTGAGACAGAGAGGATGGGAAGGCCGCCCCTTCAACGTGACGCTAGAAAGCAAACATTACGCGCGTAGATGAAGAATGAGTTCGAGATCGAGAGATGAAGACCTGTCAATGTTCAGTACGACAGTACTCCGTACGGACCGCGATTGAGGACTGGAACGATTGGTAGACGAAACTTTGCGAGATTTCATGCATCTTCATGGGCTTGGCGGGATCCGCCGTCAAGGCCCGATACTTTTTCTTCATCTTACCACATTTGATTTGATATGCAATCGTATCTGCCGCCTGTAGACTGTGAGTGTGAGACGTGAATAATTACTGCGAATATTGATCAATGGGGCGGGCGTTGCAGAGCGGCGGCCGGGACGTAGCCGGTTCTTAGGCTGGAGAGGACCGGGACGTGTTCCCGGCTCACACCACCACTTTTCCCTGTCTTAGGCTCTCACAGTCTCACTTTCAGATGGCGCCGCCCCGAGAGTTTGGGACCGGGCCTGGCTCTGCGTCGGCCGCAGTATTGTTGACCTTACAGCCGGGAATGCGCTATGGAAGATCCGACCAGATCCCCTGGCAGTTAGGTTGTCAAACGCGCGCCCTTGGAGTGCAAGAAGCATATAACGAAGCTCAATGACCTACTGCTCATATTGCCATTGCAATGTTGAAAACTCGTACCTGTCTCGGTGAACAAGCTGCACATCACACAGAGGAGGGCATCGCCGCATCTCAGAGACCCCACGCATGCGCCGCTTCCCCGTGTTTTGTTGCTCCCGGTCTTGATTATATATTTTGCAAACGGCATACCGGTCTGTCATTATCTTCCTTTAAGCCGAACTGGTTCCAGTTTGATCGGTCAAGCGTCGGCGCCCCTCTCGGTCTGGATCCTATCTTGGGGCGCATCGACCCATTTAATGCCACCAAATGTACGTTATAAAACACATTCAAAAAAGAGGGTTCGCGCGGTGATAGTGAATTTCCCCGGATGACAAGACGGGGATCCGTTAGTGCCTGACACCACTCCACTGTCATATGATTACTATCAGGTCTCTGTCTCGTTTCGAAAGCCGCGTTCTGGCTGATGGTGATGCGTACGAGCCTACGAGTTGACCGGAGAGTTGAGAGCCAAGACAATTTACAAGGACCAAAGACAGCCAAACCTAGACAAACGCGCGCCCTAAAGACAAACTAGGTACGGCATTCCGAATCCTGCAGTCTGCACTCTGCAGGCCAGCGAGTCAGGCCCCGAACGTTCCCGCCAACCGTGATTGGGACGACACCAGACCGCGCTGCGTAGCGGCGAAGCATGCGTTCATGTTGGGCGACTTGGACCCGGGGCTGGTTCTTTGTCGGGGTTCTACCCGCTTTCTGTGCATCTTCTCCTGCGATGGCACCGCAAATCATCCCGCCATGCTCCTTGTTGATGGGAAAGGTACGGAGTACGGAACATGGACATGCCAACCCGGAGCTAAGCAGGGCTTCTGCTGCCGCGTTTCTCGAGGACGCTACACACCTTTTCGGCGTGGCCGCCGGCAACAGAAGCAGTCACACAGTAATTACAGAATCCGTCAGTCTGTCAGAACGCGGTCGTTTGTCGGCAGTAATTGGAGCTAAGCCCCGAGTTTTCGCCTCTCACCCGCGCTTCTCCAAGGGTCTTTTCGGTCTTTTGAGTGCTTCGGCCAACCATCAACTCGACGTCTATCGGATAATGGGAGGGTCTTCTTCCTTGATCCCATGGCCGAATCCGACGTCGGATGTCGCTCGACCCATTGCCAAGATATTAGGAGATGGGCTGGCTACAGGCCAAAAGCTTGTGGCTTGAGGCCTTGGAGAGAGACTTGGAGACAAGTCTCAGAGCGTGAAGCACGTCAGATGGTCAGCTTGACCTCAATTGGGAGAGCTGAAAGGGAGCGAAAGGAGTAGAAAAGTCTCAGCAAATGCTTGATGCGTGGGCCGCCCAATCGACGACTGCCGGGAATTTTCTGGGTCCCTTGTTCTTCCAAGTACCAAATGTTCCACCAGGTCTCCTCTTTCGGATCAGTGGCTATCGTCGGGCACCACGTTCGTCTTACCCCAATGCTTGAGGTGATTCTCATCTCATGGCTTGCCGTTGGCCCGTTGCTGCAATGCGTCGACCAGGCGCGGAATTCGGATGTGTACGCCAGTGGAACCTTTCGACGGCTGGGTAATCGAAACGTGGGAATGGGTGCATCTTCATTAGGAAATGGATCATGGAAACGCGTTAAGATGCTCTCGACAAGACGACTTTCTCTCCGTTATCGTTGGTATCGGCCGCTCTGACGTTGCCTCCCTCCCGCAAAGCAGGGATTCTGTCTCCTCGCTCTCCTCAAGTCTCCTCCCCCCCGCGCCCACACTTCTGATCGCCCCAGCCAGCTGCCAACCATCCCCCAGCGCGCTTTGCTTATCTCTGCGGGGCTCCCTATTAGATGGGGCCTTTAGGCCCGTCCGTTGGTCTTGTCTATCACGACCCGAGTAAGTCACATACTTACACACATACCCAGTGGTAATACCTCCGTACCGCTCCGTACCGTCCTGTTTCTCTCCCAAGAACCGGGAGACGTCAGATGAAGGTTGGCAAGCTAACCAGGGAGGGGAAGGGGGGCCGCCGGACACAGGGTAGCGTCCAGCCAGGGGCACGCAACGAACTCACATATATAGAATAACTGCCCTCCTCGCTAGTCAAGGTTGTCGAGCTGTGTTTGAGTCATATCCCATTTGATCTGCTCGGCGTCTTGGAGAGTGGTACTACCCGACCTCAGCCAGTCTTACCTCTCAACTTGGACGACTTGTGTTTTTAGACAGTCGGACGCCGGATCACCAAAAACTCAAATCTGTTTTACCATCCACAACCCGCCCAAGATGGCTTCCGGGATGGAAGAAAAGACTGTCGGCCTCAGCCGCGCCGACAGCACCAACAGCAACAAGCTTGGTACCGTCATGTCGGGAACCAATGCTGCTGTTGCTCAACAATATGGCGAGACCCAGCGTGGTCTCAGCCCTCGCCATGTCCAGCTCATGGCTATTGGAGGTTCCATTGGTACCGGTCTCTGGGTAGGTTTTCTCCCAGCCTTGCAGTGCTGCGGTTCGTAGCCCAGCGAACAGAATATTCTAACGTTGATTTACAGGTCGGTATTGGTGGTGTCTTGTCCAAAGCCGGCCCTCTCTCCCTCGTTCTCGGTTACACCTTCTGGGGTCTCCTCTTCATCTGGCCGCTCAACCTGTCTGTCGCCGAAATGTGCGCCTACCTGCCCATTCGCGGTACCATCTTCGAACTCGCCTCTCGCTTTGTTGACCCTGCTCTCGGTTTCGCCATGGGATGGACCTACTTCTTCGCCGGTCTCATGTTAGTGTGTACAGAGTACAGCGCTGTCGCAACGGTTATTCAGTACTGGAACGCGGATATCAACCCAGCTGCTTGGATTGCCGTTGCCATGGTCTCTTGTGTGGCGGTCAACTTGGTTGCAGTCAAGTATTACGGAGAATCCGAGTTCATCATGGCTTCGACCAAGGTCATTCTGCTCATCGGCTTGTGCCTCATCACCCTCGTCACCATGTCCGGCGGCAACCCCATGAACGACGCCTACGGATTCCGCAACTGGGGCGATGGCAACTACATCCACGCCTACTTCACCGACGGTTCGACAGGAAGATTCTTGGGGTTCTGGAAGGTCGTTATCTACGCCGCCTTCACTATCGCCGGCCCCGACATGATCGCCCTCGCCGCTGGTGAGATCCAGAACCCCCGCCGTACTATCCCCCGCGTCGCCAAGCTCATCTTTTACCGTCTCGTCGGTTTCTACGTCGTTGGTGTTTTGTGCGTCGGCATTATCTGCAGCTCGCGCGACCCTGGCTTGCTGGGCGCCATTGAGAGCGGCGAGCCCGGTGCTGGTGCTTCCCCCTGGGTTGTTGGCATCAAGAACCTCCACATTAAGGCTCTTCCCGATATCATCAACGCGTTCATCCTGCTCTCTGGATGGTGAGTTATCCTCTGTTGCGTACTCGTATTTAAAAACATGCCATGCTAACAACATCAAAGGTCCTGCGGTAACGCTTACCTCTACTCGACTTCCCGCACTCTCTACGGCCTCGCCCGCGACGGACAGGCCCCCAAGTTCCTCCTCAAGTGCACCAAGGCCGGTGTCCCCATCTACTCCGTCCTCGTCGTCACCGTGATCTCCTGCATCACCTTCCTCGTCTCCTCCAACGGCGCCGTCGACGTCTTCTTCTGGTTCGTCGACTTGACCACCACCGCCCTCATCATGACCTACACCTTCATGCTCATCACCTACATGGGTTTCTACCGCGCCCGCGTTGCCCAGAACTTCCCTCCCGAGACCCTGCCCTACCTTTCTCCCTGGACCCCTTACTTCCCCGGTCTAGCCCTACTTTTGGGTATCTTGGCCCTCATCTTTGTCGGTTTCGACAACTTCTACCCCTTCAGCGTGCGAGGCTTCATCACCTCCTACTTTGGTCTCATCTTTGGTGTCCTCACCTTTGTCATCTGGAAGGTTCTGAAGAGGACTCGCTTCGTCCACCCCAAGGAGGCAGATCTTATCAGCGGAAAGGCTGAGGTTGATGCTGAATGCCGTCACTGGGAGGAGGGTGGCATTGAGGAGGTGGAGAGGGCGAGATTGGCTGAGATGTCTTTTGTCAGGAGAACCTGGGAAAAGATGTGGTAAAAGTTGCTGCTAGCATAACGATAATGGCTTCCTTGTTCCAATGACAAATAATTTTCTGTCAACTATGCAATTGCCGCTTTCCCTTGATATGTGCTCTTGATTAGACAACTTGCTCTAACTTTGATGTCTTTAGTCTCCCTAAGCCACTTTGACACCCATGACTATAGCTAATAGCATGATGCTGACTCGATGTTTACATCAATCTCAGCCACAACAGGCACCCAACACAGCCAACACAACCAACGCACTGCCTGGAATCATGTATGGCATTCTTCCGTATGACTACATCAAGCCGTTTGCTTTTCCTCTGATGGTCAACACTGCCGTCATTTGGTTATGCTAGCTCAGCAGAGGGAGCGGCCGGCGCCGCTCCCATGGCCCTGCAGGTCGTGTGTTCGACTCACACCTAGAGCCGGACATCATTTTTGCTTTCTTCTGGTCATTTTCCTACCTACGGTGTCAATACAGCGCCTAATTCATGCTCCATAACATTTAGTACACATACATGACACAGCAGTCTCTCTATTACGTAAACCCAATCTTCCCCGCCTCGCTTAGTCTTGCGGGGAAGTTCGTCTGTCTTCATGACTCCATGCGGATTCGCGTTCTAGATGCAACCTCAACTCACTTGGCGCGGCTCTCACTGCGAAACCGGCTTATCCCACCAGGTCTAAGATGGTCAAATTCTCCAGACGGAAAGGACCATTTACTGTAGCCGTGCTAGCCTAGCAATGCGGCCCACCAGGTACTCAACTTCACGACAAAAAGCGTGCCAGCCTTGCGCTGCCGCCAAAGCCAAATGCGACCGGAAAGCTGTGGCATGTTCCCGGTGCCACCAGCGGGGCCTCCCATGTCTCTATCCACAGGCTCGGACGATCCCTTCATCCGCGCCGGGTGCTGCCGGTCTTCGTACAGTGGCCGAAGCCGAGGTCGATACGAACCGCGCAGCAATTACGATATCCGCAGCTGTGGAAACGATCGCGGTGTTCTCGCCGTTTCGAACGGTTGCGCCAGACAAAAGAAGCGCTTTATCTTGTGCGGGCGATCTGTCGGCTACAGAAACTGCTCAATCAGAGGAGGAGGCTCTGGGGCCTGATCTGCTCGACTTCTCGGACATGAATATCGTCTGCACCATCAATGCTGATGACATTGCCAATCGATGGCTGAATAACTTTGTCCCAATGCCGGAGCAACAGGCAAAGAACTACACGCCAAGGATATCAGCTTTCATTCAGAGGATTCTAGAATCCTACGCAGAATCTTCCGTCCGTGGCCGCAATGTCCCCCCTTTTGTGCATTGGTCCCAGGTAACTCTGCCATCAAGCCACCCATTATCAACTTGCTTTTCCGTCATTCGAAGATGCAACAAGGATGATATGGTAGAAGCTGAGGTAGTAGCCAATGAACTCAAGTTAGAGATGGCAAGGCTTTTTCAGCAACACGCAACATACAATGACATGACTCTCCTTGCAGCATTTCAAGCATATCTCATTTACGCCATGGTCATCTTTTTTAAATTTGGGAGAGCTTACTACCCGTTCTTACGCGAGGCCATGATGAACACCCAGGAACTCGCGTGTGCGACGGCGAGGAAGGGACTCACGTGTGTTTCCGAAGAAGATGAAACGCGTCCCAGGTGGGAATGCTGGATTGCGGCTGAGGCCAAGAGGAGAACGCTGTTCACGATGTGCCTTTTCGATAGCGCTCTATTAACACATGACGGCCTCCCAACCCACCTTGCCACCGAGCTACGCGGTCTATCAGCGCCAGCATCCAAAGCCTTGTGGGAGGCTCGAACGCGGCATGATTGGATGGATGGATATGACTTCCAGCAGGCTGAACGGCCAGAGAGTTGGCTGACCATTGACGAATTATGGCCTATGCCTGGAGATTTCAGCGAGGATGAAATCACTCATAGGCGTATGAGAGTCAATGCATGGCTGGAGGACCTAGACGAGTTTGGTGTAATGATATATGCTGTGACCAGCGGTACACACGGTACCTGATTCTGACCAAAGGCGTTTGCTATTCACATCGAGGCCAGGTGTCCAAAATACGTATGATAATCTCTCCGGACCGGTCTTCTGGATGTAACTCCCGCAAGTATGGGGTTAGCATAATTGACCCCTCAGACTATCGTAATTGTCTCTTCCTCGACATGTGCGAACCAGTTTCGGAACGGATATTCTTCTGTGCGACAGAAGCCAATACGGCGGAACTCTTGCTGCTGGTCCGTCGGCTCTAGCAGCAGCCCGTACCAACGGCTTGGCTCCTTGGCTCTTCTTGATACCTGTAAGTAATAGAGAGACTTATCGTTACCACGGTAATCCGTGTCGAACACTGCTAATCCGACCATGACCCCGTCTTCTTTGAGGAAATCAATAGCTAACTCCTTCCGACAGGTTGAAAACCTCTGATAACTCGGAGCTTCCGGATCTTCTCTTGGATCAGCCCGTCTGAGTTTTCCATTCAACTGCAGGTATCCTGATCTCAACATGCCCCTCGAGTCCAGGCCGAGTGGCATCGTCTCTGCTTGAATGATCCTCACCGCGACCTCCATCTCGTTCCCCGAAGGCAGAATGCTTGCAATTTCGGGCATTGTGACAGCACCTTCTAGAGACGCCCAGCTCCAACTCGGGGCGCGGAAGCCATCAGACGGAGCTTCAAGCCAATTCTCGCTTCTCCTCCAAAGCAACCCATAGTGCAAGTGGTTCTCCCATAACCCGGCAAGGTACCGCTGCCCGGTACATTCCTCCATCACTTTGGCAAGACCGGAAAGCGCTGGTAGTCTATCATAAGACTTGGTGATGCCTCTTCTGCTGTATGCCGACACCATATCGTACCAGTCCCACACAAACTCTGATGACGATAGGCGTCCTTGCGCGAAGGGGTGTGAAAGGTGAAGGCGCTCGTCCCATACGAGCTTTTGCACAGTGAATGCATCAGTCGGAACCCCATCTTCTGCCAGACGAGATTCCCGGCATTCCCAGAGAAGTTGATCTGAGTCATAGTGTATCATTCGCGCAGATAGAAGGCGTTCCTGGGTCACCCACGCTCGTGTATGTAGGATACTTTGGGGCAGGTGGCTGAAGTCACGCGGTCGAGGTCGTATGAACACTGGGAAAGACTCAGGTCTATCACTAGTTCTCCGAGTACATTTGACTTGAACATGGTTTGAAGTCGAACGTGGCAAGAAGCAACCCCCCGTCGAGTCTGCGGAGGCTGAGGCTGCAATAGTCAGATATGATGAGGCATAAATGGTGCCCATCTTGACGCTCTCGAGTTCCCAGTCTTCTTTGGAGTCCTGTACAATGCAGAGCGAGTCGATCCATATGTATTGCACACCAAGCGATCTCGTTATCAATACTGCGTCCCGGAACGTCGGAGGCAAGATGGATAGTGGCAATGACTTGATATGGTCATTGATGGTCTCGCTGGTGGTACGGATGACAGGATGAGAGCCCCAGCAGTGGCTCAATGTCATATAGCGGCCAGCTTCTCCGTTCGTGGCAGTGAGCTGAGGTTCCTCCACTCCCTCGACACCAACATCTACAACTCGTGTAGGTAGAGTCGTAGGTGCTGAATGGCAGCTATGATTTTCGTCGCATTCGCGGACCCAATCTTTCACGAGGTTAATTTGCTCAGAGGGAGGCTTGATAGGTCTGCCCACGATGGATTTCTCTAGGCTGGCAAGCCCGTCATTGGGGTAGAAGCTGAAATAGCAGTAAGCTCTCGGGCTCAGGCGATCGCAACGAACTTTGACCCAAAAGAGACCACGAGACTCGTAGTTCTCATCTGTGTACTGAACACCCCGTAAGATAACAGGCGAATCCGGGTCATTCCAAGCCGCTTGGTCTACATTGACTCCCTCGCTCTGGAGCTTCTCAGTGATGGATCTATGGAAAAGTCTACACAGATCGCATGAGGAGACATTTCGCTCAAGGTCGGCAATTGATGAATGAAGACTAATGTCCTGGACTTCGTCTTCGTCGTCAACTAGATCGGCAAGATCGAGCTGACAGCAATCTTGACAAAGAGACATAGCTGAAGGCTCGTACACGACAACATATTTTGACAGAGGTCACAATGAAAAGAAGGAAGAATCGAGTTCTGAGGGATTTACTGGGACGCCCCGCTGCAAACCAACAGCTCCAGGGCGCCATCCGTGGTGAATAATTCAGGAGCCTTGGAGTTCATGCAGCTCTGCATATGCGCACCGCAGGGTTACATTCGGCTGGCCTATCGTCTGCTCCAATCGATTCACTGGATAAGTTTGGGTTCTACTGAAATGCCTAGAGTGTATGGAAGCACCAAGAACTATGGACTGCCGAATTGAAAGAATGTTTAGCCACTTGGTAGAAGTCTTGGACTCAAGAGGCCTGCGTGAGCTTCCGCGGGGGGAGATCGTTGGCAGCAACCATGCGATCGAAAGCGGTGATCGTTTTTGGTCATTCTCAACTTCTCCTTGAACCCGACGGACCGAAATTTTCCGGACACACTGCTCGAGTTCTCTGCAGAAGAAATACGCGACCTCCACAGTCAGCGTCCAAGATGCGGCCGGTAGCTCACGGTGTTCGAGGTGGAATTTGACACATGGTCTCACAGTCATATTTATGTTCTTCCCATCAGTTCTAGACAAGAGAACCTATTGGAATTTCGGTCAAAATATATCAGAAAGTGGCTGAAGGCAGGGTTAAAACCCATGCTGAGCTCCCTCGACCGGAGGCGCTCCATTCGGCCCGAAGCAATCGAAGATAACTGGCTATCGCTCAACCCATGATATTGGGATTTCATTATTTAGCTGCATTGAAAGCTTCTCCATTAGGATAATCTGGTCTCACAGATGGAAGGTAGCTTAATTGTGAGACTTTCCAAGAGTATCTTGCATTGAGTCTGTGTAACTACTTACTTATGTTGTTACGAGTGTAGCTGGTAGCTGCCGCATTTCAATGAACTTGATTTCAGCTTCAGATCTATTCAAAGAACCAGTAGAAGCCAGAATAGTTGATTGCAGTACCCTTGGCATTCTTACATTCAGAGAACTTCGACAATCCAAAATTTCCAGTGCCCTGATATAGCTATAACCCTAAGGCATAACCTCACACCTCCTACTTAGCTCTACTACTCCTAACCATATATCATTCGCTACTCCAGTCTACTTGGGGCAAGAACCAGTGTAGTGCTCGCAGTTTGCCTTGAAGGACGGATCCCGCACTTGCTTGCCGTTCTCAATCTTGGGGTATAGCCTAGCGCAGTCGGCATCAGTGATGGTGTGGCTCATGATACACTGCGATGGAAGAATTAGCACATCCTTCTGAGGGCCCAAGGCTAGATAATAGTGTCCTCGAAGCTTACGCCATTGATGTTGCGCGCGTTGTCGTGGTAGACCGCCCCCCCGAAAGCCTTACAGACATGGATAGCTGCTGCAATAGTTGGCTGGTTGACGTTGAAGCAGTTACACATGTAGGCATTGGCAGTTGCCGCGCCGCTGTAAATGACCATTAGATATATCCAAGTCCTAGGGAGTGCGACTACGCGGGTACAACTTACAGAGAGGCGAGAGAGATGGACTGAAGGAACTTCATGGTTTTCAGAGGATGAACGTTTGTAACAAAGGTAGATTTATAACGGTGGTAGTGGTCGAGGATATAAGATATGGCTGACTAGACTATGGGAAGCTGGCGAGCTTATATACTCACGACAGCACCGCGTTGAAGATTCCATGGACTCATTGGCATGTCATATGACGAGAATGATAATAGCGAAGATAGAAATCCTATTGCCAACTGAGTCAGACTGGTTTGGTTGGGAGAGACCCTCGTCGGAGTTGGGAAGTTAGACATCCCGCAGGGCACTAAACTATTCCCAGTTCGCGGTTTAATTCTAACTTCGTCGTATGCGCGCACAACGCCGGATAAACTGTCTTACGAAATGAAAAGTTCAAGAGTTTTGGATTGTATCTGGCCATCGAATTTCTTCAGGCTTTTCGTATTTTGCAAAACTTTCCAAAAGTTCTTTAACGTACCCAAGCTAGCTAGATTATCCCACAACTATCCCACCGGTCTTCAGGAATACTCTCTTGAAAACAACAGTAGGAATTAGACTAGCTCTTCTTCGTAAAAGAAACTTCGGTGTCTAATTTGAAGATCCTGAAGACGGAGGCTAAACGGTTTTAGCCTATAAGGCGTATTATCAAACCTTTGCAATGAAGTCTTGAATTATCGCAACAATTGGACTAAACACGAGCTGAGGTATCCTGAAGATAAAAAGACGATGATTTCATCTCTTTCTACTATATATCCATCATCTCATCACTCGCATATTCACTCAACCTATAGTATCATAGCCCGATGACCATTGTCCACTACCAAAATGAAGACATCGAACCTCGTTACCGCCCTTGCCCTCGGCGTGATTGCCTACGGGATGCCTGCCACCGAATGTCTCGCCACCGAATGTCTCGCCACCGAAGAGATCAAGCAAGCAGACAAGAGCCAGATCCATTTACTGTTTATGTAGAAGCCAACTGACAATCTTCAGCCCCGGATTCTTGGAGTCCTGCGCCAGCTGATCCGATCATTCTCGGGAGCCTTGCTTCTATCGCCATGACCAGTGGGTGTCACCTAACCCATGATCAGTGTAGAACGAGTTCTGACGCGTTGTACTAGATGCTGAGCCCCTAGCTGGCAACGTCAACATCAAGGAACGTGGTAACGCCCCCGTCACCATCGCCGGTGCAACCTTCCATCCCGCCTGGCTTCCTCGAGTCCGTCCTGCCGCCCAGGTTATCACGGTTGCAGGCCATGCGGTCTTGATGACGGCTTGGGTCGATGCCCAGAACCGCATTTGCATCATTCTCGATGCAGCTTTCCCAGGAAGACCATATTCTCAAGTTCAGCAGTTCCGCGTCATGAACTTGCGCTGATGTTATTTCTAATTAGGTTTCCACAGCACCATCACAGCTGGTGTGCAGAACCTGCACAATCATCTACGTGTTCTGCCTCATATCTTTGAGCTGGGAAAGACCTACGTCGCTTCGGACAACGGGGGCGAAATCGAGCCTGCCGATACCTGGCAATGGTTCTAGTTCAAATGAGCACCTTCAACGGTGGCGTAGCCTGGGGCTTGCGCCCTGTTATAGGAGACCAGCTACCACATTATATTTCAAGACAAATCGGAGAATTATCACTCGACGCATCATATTAGGTTTTTAGATAGTGAGAACCAACGTAGGTATCTATCCTAGAGTTCGTCGTGATAGTAGAATTCAACATGCTACTAAATGAATTTTTCCTACAATAAAATCCTTCAAGAATTCGATGATGTTCGAGTAAGTTGAAGCTCGACATGCGAGTGCTTTCTACTTACACAAGCGTTTAATCATGTCATGTGACAAGTATAACTCACGGACGTGCTGTTATACACTAGAAAGCCGTCGGATTATTCTTCAGTCAGATTCGATGTCGTTGAAGTTGCTGGAAATGAGTTCGGTAAAGCCCCTTGAGTTCTGATCACTGTCTCAATGGCCAATTGATGTCTCCCCACATGTCGTTTTCTCATATGTACCTTTTGGCATAAGCCCAAAGTCCGTATGTTGAACTAGAAATACGCTCACACATGCAGTTCTGTGCTTTATCTACCTCAAAAGTGAAGCCTTGGTACTTGGTTCGACAACAGCTCTATCATACACTGCAGCAAATGTTTCCGAGAGCTCTGATGATGGTTCGGAAATAATTGAGTAAAGGCTCTTTTGGTGATAGCCGCTCCTTTGTTTGCTTCGTCGTGTGTTGCTTAGATAGTCCAGTCCAGATGAGTAATTCAATCGAATACTGTTGTGAAAATAGAGAGCGGGTAATGTAAACAATGCCAAACATAAGTACTTAAGCTATTGTCAAGGTCAAGTTGAACGACCATGCCTGCAATCTTACTAGGCTAAACGACTAACTGGACAGTGGACCAGTATCAGAACTTCGGAAGTTGTTCAGCTTTGCTGCGTGCTGACTGATTTATATCGAGCCAATTCTGAGACTCTGAGTTCTCGGAAAGGCATGAAGCTCAGTCGTTCCGATAGAATGCTATTGATTCCCAATTCGAAAGTGCTGTCAAAGCCATGCTTTCAATTACTCTTAAGTGTGTTTTGTTGAGAAGTTGGCTAACTTGAAGGCCCGATTAGAGGCGCTTGCCATTGATTCACGAACCTCTCGAGGTTGAAGACATTCAATTCAGATTAGTAGATGGAAGTCGTTGCAACCCGGCGATTCTGAAGTGATCTCTGCATGTGACGGTAGCAGTTTGTGCTAACGACAAAGACATGAGCCGCAACGAAGGTGACGAAGGTCTATGGTCTAAGATATGTTGTAGTCTGATTGATAATCGTGCAGTGGATTCTAACGCTGTTTGTAAAACTACCATGTAAATTGGCGGTCAAACTTGCATGTCGAAGCGAACGCGAGCATGCAAGTCAACTGTAGACTGAAATTTCCCCGCATGCTCGATTGCGACCTCTCCCGTCGGCGAATAGCGCAAGCGCTCGCCGACTTGCGCCAGTAATTATTGCCGACCGGACTTCATGGGTAGCTCGCATCGGCTACAGTAACTTCCGAGCCCAGAGTCGCATCAATTCAACGGCAACATTTGCATGCTGAGAGAGCTGGACTTGACTTCGAAAACGAAAAGGCGAAGCTAAGGAGTTAGCAAACTCTTGGCTTTCTATTGCGACGCAGTGCTTGGTGTGATCAGCGGGAGAGGGGCTTTCGGCTCAACGTGACCGGTCTCGTACTCCGTGTAGATCAGATTTCCGTGCAAATCTCAGACTCTGTGAGGCTCTTCGAGACTCTTGGCCGGGCTGTGCATGTTAGAGGACGTCTTTCAATGCTATGCCTCCGTCTTAAATAATGGCCATAACATGGCGTCATAACATATGGATAAAAGGAAGATTTTCCAGTGGAAACGACAGCTCTTTGAGCCAAGAAATAACGTGCCACCTAGTTCAACAGCTTTGCAACACGATCTCGGCCCTGAGTCAAAGCGCGTGCGGGAAACGGTGCGGAGGATGATGAACAGGAGCTTACTCCGCCCGAACGCCGACGAGCAACCAAAAGGAAGCTGGAAACAGTTGTTAATCGGGTGGGGTTGCCCCCGCTCCAAGTGATTGCCAGCAGGATGTCGCGAGAGGTGATGAGAGTCAATGACAGGGAAAGTTTTGGCGAGGTCGTATCAACCGCACACGTGCTCCGCCTGACCTTCCATTCAAGCTCCTAATATGCTGCCGACGACTTATTAGAGAACTTTTTCGTTTGTCCGTTGCCAATTACGATCCGAAACCCCTCTTACTGCCTGACTCTTGGCCTGTCTCCAGTGCGAGAAACACAAAACCCGCGCCATCTAGACTCTTGTCTGTCATGTACGGCAAAACCTTCCCCTCTTCTGGAAAACTCGTCTGATCCTACCATCATCTCGCTTATTCTTTGCTCAAAAATCCCTCGTTTACCCCTGTCTCTACTAAGATTTCTGCCAATCCCCAAGCTAGTCTTCATCTTTCTCGCCTCCCCCTTCCCGTTTTCTGCAAGCTTCACACCTCTAGCTACTCTTGATAATCAACCAGAGCTCCTGCGAATGCTCTCTCAAACTGCCAAGCCTGCATCATGTGCTGTTCGTTGGTTTCTGAGGCTGACCTGGACCGTATCCCGGCGGGTCATCTCTCCACACACACGGTGCTATGCCTGCTTGTTTAAGCTTGTCAGGACGATTTCCCGGCCCCAATCTACCTAATTCGGGCTTATCAGATGAGATCAGAAATATCGGTTCCTCAGTAATATGTCTCTTGGAGTGTGGCAGTGCTGGTCCGGCCGGGGGTTGAGTTCTTTTGCTTTTGCCGCTCTGTCGGAAAGTGGAGAGCTATGATGAAGGTGAGGTTGGATGGCCATGCTTGGAAGAGGTAGCCCGGCGAAAGCTGCCCCCGGAAGAGTATTCATATTCTCTGGGCGCCGCTTATTCGGCACGTCTTGCTTTCGAGCTCGACAGCACTTTCTCTTTTTCTACCGGGCCATACATGACATCCCTTCATGATGGCTGACAAGTTTCTCAGCCCCAACCCCCCCCCACATGCGGACTCCCATTCGCGGGCCACGAGTGATGCCGATACCATTGCTCCGGATGGGTCCAACCCGTTTCTCACGCCGTCCGGCACAACCGCTGCTCCTAGTACTGCTGGTGCGAGCCTCGACCTAGAAGACGTTGAATCATCTTTGAAGCCCGATCCTGGCACGGAACGCGACTTTCACGTGGACAACAACCCATTTGCCTTTTCCCCTGGGCAACTCAATAAACTGCTGAACCCGAAGTCAATTTCAGCATTTAGGGCGCTCGGCGGGCTCCGAGGCATTGCTCGTGGCGTTCAGACCGACGTACGAAGCGGCCTCAGCGTTGACGAAGCAGGCGTCCGATCCAGAATCAGCTTCAATGAAGCAGTCGACAGCCACAACGAAAGCAAACCGGCTTCGCCATCAACCGAGAAGCATGTACCGTCTTCTGGGGCACCATTCGTGGATCGTACTCGCATTTATGGTCGCAATGTACTGCCGCCAAAGAAGCCCAAGTCGATCTGGAAGCTGATGTGGATTGCGTTCAACGAAACGGTACTTATCCTCTTGACGGTTGCCGGAGTCATCTCTTTGGCACTCGGACTATACGAGACCCTCGGCGTGGAAAGGCCTGCAGGCGCACCGGCTTCCGTCGATTGGGTCGAGGGCGTCGCTATCTGCGCTGCGGTCATCATCGTCGTCCTCGTCGGATCCCACAACGACTGGCAGAAGGAGAAGGCATTCGTCAGGCTGAATACCAAGAAGGATGACCGTCAAGTCAAGGTTATTCGCTCCGGAAAATCAGTCATGATCAACGTCAACGAGATCCTTGTGGGCGAGGTGCTCCATTTGGAGCCTGGCGATATGGTTCCTGCTGATGGCATACTCATTGAAGGACACGAAGTCAAGTGCGACGAATCTTCGGCTACTGGTGAATCCGATGTTCTGAAGAAGACTGCTGGCGATCAAGTTATGAAGCTTCTGGACTCAAAACACAACAATCATGACGACCTGGACCCCTTTATCATCTCAGGATCCAAGGTTCTTGAAGGTGTGTCCTCCATTCCTCAATCCTTAGACTAAGCTGACAGACCGCAGGCATGGGAACCTACGTTTGCACTTCCGTTGGTGTCCACAGCAGCTTCGGCAAAATCATGATGTCCGTACGATACGATATCGAAGCCACACCTCTCCAGAAAAAGCTCGAGCGACTTGCTATCGCCATTGCCAAGCTCGGTGGAGGTGCATCTGCTCTGATGTTCTTCATTTTGCTTTTCAGATTCGTTGCCAGTCTCCCTGGCGATGACAGATCGCCCGCCGACAAGGCGTCAACCTTTATGGACTTGCTTGTTGTGGCCATTGCTATCATTGCCGTTGCAGTACCTGAAGGCTTGCCGTTGGCCGTCACCCTCGCTCTCGCGTTCGCTACTACGAAGCTGCTAAAGGAGAACAACCTCGTTCGTGTTCTTCGATCTTGCGAAACCATGGGTAACGCAACAACGATCTGCTCGGATAAAACAGGCACTCTGGTATGATTAATCTTCTCTGACGTGAAATGACCATCATCTGATGAGGGTACAGACAACAAACAAGATGACAGTTGTGGCTGGCACCTTCTCCACCACCAGCTTCACAGCTCTGGCTCAGTCCGACAACGAGAAGACCTCGGGAACCCCTCACGTAACTGCATGGGCTGCTAGCTTACCTACAAAAACCAAAGAACTCATCGTTCAGTCGGTTGCCGTAAACTCCACGGCCTTTGAGGGCCAAGAGGATGGTCAGGCAACTTTCATCGGATCCAAGACCGAGACAGCCCTTCTCCAATTGGCGAAGGATCACCTGGGTCTCCAATCACTTGCTGAAGCCCGCGCCAACGAGCAAGTCGTGCAGATGCTTCCCTTCGATTCCGGAAGGAAATGTATGGCCGCAGTGATCAAACTTGGTGACGCCTCGAAGGGATATCGTGTACTGGTCAAGGGTGCCTCCGAGATTATGCTTCAGTACTGTTCGTCCAAAACTCATCTGGAGACTTTGACCGAGGGGCCCATGACGGTCACTGAGAGACAGTCACTCGAATCAACCATCAACGAATACGCTCGCCGGTCCCTCCGGACCATTGGCATTGTGTACAAGGACTACCCTCAGTGGCCGCCTGTAAATATACCTTCAGAAGATGGACACGTCAAGCTCGAGGCTCTGCTGGCACCATCTGACTTGGTATTCCTAGGCATTGTTGGAATTCAAGATCCCGTCCGAGAAGGTGTTCCCGAGGCGGTCAGGCTTGCGCAGCATGCTGGTGTCACTGTCCGCATGGTTACTGGAGACAACATCGTCACCGCTCAAGCTATCGCGACTGAGTGCGGTATCTTCACGGGCTCTCAAGGGGTGATCATGGAAGGACCGGCATTTAGGAAGCTTTCCGAAGAGGACATGAACAGCATCCTTCCTAAGTTACAGGTATTGGCTCGTTCGTCTCCTGAAGACAAGCGGATTCTCGTAACGAGGTTGAAGGCGCTCGGGGAGACGGTCGCTGTCACAGGTGACGGTACGAACGATGCCCCCGCCCTGAAGGCTGCAGATGTTGGCTTCTCTATGGGTATCTCGGGTACTGAAGTTGCCAAGGAGGCTTCCGCGATCGTGCTTATGGACGATAACTTCGCATCAATCGTCACTGCACTCAAGTGGGGTCGTGCAGTCAACGATGCCGTCCAAAAGTTTCTCCAAGTAAGTTTCTGTTCACATGAGGCGATCAATCACCTGGCCGTCGCGCCCGAGGACAGCTTTCAAGTCTTAGTACCAGGTCACTGACTCATTGTCGTGTAGTTTCAAATTACCGTCAACATCACTGCCGTCCTATTGGCATTCATCACAGCCATGTATGACCCTCACATGGAGCCGGTGCTGAAGGCTGTTCAACTGCTTTGGGTCAACCTTATCATGGACACTTTCGCCGCGCTTGCACTTGCAACGGATCCTCCGACGGACAAGATTCTTGACCGACCTCCTCAAAGAAAAGATGCTCCATTGATTACAATCAATGTAAGTTCACTCCTCTCGCTGACTCCTGCGAGCATAGCTAACGACCGACTTTAGATGTGGAAGATGATCATTGGACAAGCTATTTTCCAACTTATCATCACACTCACACTTTATTTCGCTGGCCCCGAGATTCTCAACTATGACAGAAATAGCGAAGATCAAATGTTGCAACTCGATACAGTCATTTTCAACACATTTGTTTGGATGCAGATCTTCAACGAATTTAACAATCGGCGACTTGATAATAAGTTCAATGTTCTCGAGGGCGTTCACCGCAACCAGTTCTTTATCTTCATCAACCTCTTGATGGTTGGTCTCCAAGTCGGAATCGTGTTCATTGGCGGTCGCGTCTTCGAGATCAAGGAAGGTGGCCTCGATGGAACTCAGTGGGCAATCTCCATTGTGATTGCGCTCATGTCTTTGCCCTGGGGTGTGCTGGTCCGTATCTTCCCAGATATCTGGTTCGAAAGGGTTGCTGTTTTCGTCGGAAAGCCTTTTGCACTGGTATACAGATTCCTTGGGAAGATGTTCGCTCCTGTCGGCCGGTTATTCAAGCGAAAGCGACGTGAGACTACCGCGGCAGACGAGGAAGTACCCGCTACGGTTGTGATCGCTCCCCCTGAAGAAAAGGGGCAATAGCTTGATGACAGAACTACGGAGTGTATGTAGGAAGTCGTATGGCATGCGAAAGGAGAGAAATGCGGCCTTTAACTCAAGACACGGCGTGTGTCTGTGTGAAAATTGTTTTTTAGCAGATGGTCCAGGTTGACAGTCTTGTGGTACAGGGGTATTCTTCAAGAAGCCATCGATGGCGTCTTTTTTACAGCGAGTGACTGGGTTAGTGTAAAAGCGGTGGGACACATGATGACTTCGGACCGGAAAGACTGTCGCTACTTGAAGTACTTGGGATAAAGGTAATCATAAGAATAAGAGAATAAAAATTATTAAAAACTTCAAATGACGTATTTCATTCAATGATGCTTGTTATGAGATCTCACAAACCTGAACAGCACAACTGGAATAGCGATGAAGGGGCGGACCAAGACTTCAAGGCATTCTCCGTCCACAAATATGGCAAGGGCCGTTCGTCTCTGCTGTGAACTCCCCACGACTGAATTCGTCGATCACTATGTTTTTAGAAACGACAGCACCCTCGTCAAATAGTATGATATTGGTTGCATCTATGCCAGACAACCGGCCACAATGAATTTGGGACAGACGGTAAGGGCCTAGCTGCTTTCATTCAAAGGAAATTACGGCTCTCATAGCACCACTCATCAAAGTAGGTACAGCTTAAACAACGGCCTTGCATCGAAAATCACTCAACTCCACTGCCTCAGAAGACGACTCTTGATTATAGTGATTTTTGAACGGCCTGGGCCGACAAGTGAGCAAACGATGTGTATTCTAAGAGTTCTCGACTCCTTTAACGACAACGGGGAAACTTCCATCCGAAACAAGCTGGTCCGCGTTCCAGAACAGGAGGTAGGTATCTTCCCATTCGGAGGGCTTCGCCCAGAACTGTGCCTCCAGCTGCGAGTTGTTGTTGTACACGAGCTGTGTCGCAAACAACGCCCATCCATAGGTAGTCTGGTTGACCGTGACTGCCTTAGGGGTTTGAGTAAGGCCCATTGCATTATCATCGCTGTCGCTGATGGTCAAAGAGCCAGCAGAAGTTCCGTTCACGAACGTGGCGTTAACCTTCCAGTTCTCTCCCGTGATGGATGGGAGATCCCAAGTGATCGGGGCAAGATTGGCATTGGCGTCGTCAGGGGTCTGAGTGATGTACAGGTAGCCTTTGTGATGAATGGAAGTCAGCAATTCCGGTTTTGTCACCATAAGATTCCCGCAACCGGGGGTTCATACCGTCATCCAGTCCATAAGCAACGGGCCACGAAGATGAGTTTGTTCCGTAAGCATAGAGTGTTGCGTTTGTTTCAGCCTTGCGCTTGATGTTGACGTTCCACGAGGGAGAGATGGCCGAGGCACAGGTGAGACCGGCCTGCAAAAGCGCAAGAACTCCAACCTTGGAAGAATACATTGTATTAAGAATAATCTGTAACGACTGGACTTGGTGGTATGGAATCTTTGAATGAGACCGTAGGCTAGAAGGATAGATAACGGCCGTGTTAAGTGAGAAACGAAGGGAACAGAGCACGTAGTTATCGCCTCACATAACAAATACTTTCCAGGTTGAATTAACCCTTAAAGACCGCGGAGTTTACCACTTACACCCAACCCACAAGGAGATGCTAAGCATTCCCCCCCACATTGCCGATTTTGAGATGCCGCTTGCCCGGTGATCGTCGTTGGTTCTTTTGACAAAGAGGGGCAGTTCCGAGCTCGTAAACGCAATCGATGCCCGCCCTCGGGAAGCACAGACAGTAAAAATAAACAAGTCAGAGTTGTCAAAGTTGTGGGTTTATTCCTGACTAGGAAAGCTCTGATGTTTTAACCCCTGGAGAAATGGGGCCGCACCGGGATCCTACATCTCAATTTCTCTTGCGGCTGTCATACTTCTAACGTTGCGGTTGCTAGTCAGCCTTATTGAGCGGCTTAAGGTAAGTTGCTAGATCCATCATCACCCGCATCTCATTTAACGGCGAATCAACCATAATGCCCACGGCCACTCTGGAAATAGACAGACCCGTCCAACCCGTTCTCACAGCCCCACTGATGCAGGCTTTCTTCTTACCTCACCGGCCGGTTTGACGTGTAGTCGACGTGTAGTCTTTCGCGGCCTACTGGGCTGAGGAGGTTATCCCGGCGCGGAATCACCGTACTATGTGGGACAACTTAGTCTCTGCGAGGCAGAAACTCTGTTTGCACCCACAAGACGATAGTCATCTTGCTCCGCATGACGCCAGAACCGACGGCAAAATCCGTCTGTTGTTGCTGCTCACCAAAGCCCACATCCCGCATCATGAAAGGGGAAGAGATTCAACTGTCCAGAGTTCTTGCAAAGAGCTTGATGGAGACGTCAAATATCTAGGGTTGGCCCCGACTTCTGAGCAGTCGTCTCGGCCCCAAAGTACGCACACAAGATTAGCAGGCGTGGCAGATCTTGTTATGTTTTCAAAACACTCTTTTACTTCATCGACTTAAACACTCGTTTCTTACAAGTTCGGCTGTGTACTAATAAATTTTTTTATCACCCAAACAATTATCATCATGATGGTTCCCGGAAAGCTTCTCGCTACCTGGGCGATAGCTGCCATCACCGGCGCCACAGCAGCTTGTACGTCAAACCGACACCAGACCGCCAATGCAACCGCAAACGCATCACCAGTCTCCGAGAGTGTTGCCAGCCCTAGCTCGCCCATTTCATCTGACTCATCTGGCTCGCCTGGCTCCGGTACCGCCTGCGTCAACATTCCTTCGAATAGAGCGTGCTGGACGGAAGGATTTGACCTATCCACAAACTACTACGATGAAGTTCCAGATACAGGCGTGGTCAGAGAGTACTGGTTCAATGTCGAGAACGGCACCGCATCTCCAGATGGCTATGAGATGCCAGTGCAACTCATCAATGGATCGTTCCCTGGCCCAACTATTATTGCTGACTGGGGTGACACTGTTGGTACGTACATACAGAGATATGAGCCTTCGCTGCGTCAACTTGCAGAGCTAACAGTGGAGTCGAATAGTTGTTCACCTGACCAACTCGCTGCAGACGAACGGAACCGGTCTCCATTTCCATGGTATCAGACAGAACTGGACCGATCAAATGGATGGCGTTCCTAGCATCACTCAGTGCCCCATCGCCCCCAACGACACTTATACCTATCAGTGGCGGGCTGTTGAATATGGAACCGGCTGGTATCACTCTCACTTCTACGTGCAAGCTTGGGATGGAGTCTTTGGTGGTATCACCATCAACGGACCGGCCTCAGCGAACTACGATGTCGATTTAGGCCACCTCTTCCTCAATGACTGGTACCACGTGAGTTCAAATCTTGGATTTTTTGTAAAAAGAACAGTAATTGATTTTTCCCACTCAGCAAACTGCGGATGAGCTTGTTACCAAAGCAGCCACGGGAGGGCCCCCAACAGCAGTCAATGGTCTGATCAACGGTACCAACACCTTCAACGACACCATGGGCTCCAGGTTCGAAACGGTGTTCGAAGCCGGGACCAGGTATCGCCTTCGCCTTGTCAATGCCGCTGCAGATAACCATTTCCGTTTCATGATTGACAACCATACCATGGAGATTATTGCAACGGACTTTGTGCCGATTGTCCCATACAATGCCACCCAGCTGAGCATCGGTATGGGTCAGCGCTACGACATCATTGTGGAGGCCAAGGATCTTACCGATGGCGACTTCTGGCTACGATCTATCGCACAGGAGTCTTGCTCCGAGTCTGATGCCGTTGACAATGTCAAGGGCATCATTCGATACTCCAACTCGTCCACCTCAGATCCCACGACCTCGGCGTACAGCTACACTGACTCATGCTTGGATGAGGCATCCTCTAACCTGGTGCCTTACCTTCCCATTAATGCGTCTGACACTTACATCAGCGCTGACGAGAAGGTTGCCGTCGAAGTCACAGACAATGCACTTCTCTGGACGATGAACAAGACTTCCATGCATACCCAGTGGGAGTATCCTACCGCCATGCAGATTTCACAAAAGAACTCGACTTGGCTCACCAAGCAAAACGTCATCCACCTGCCTGATGCTGACAAGTGGGTGTATATGGTCATCCACTCGCCTTTTGCCCAGGACCACCCCATGCATCTTCACGGCCACGATTTCTGGGTTCTGGACTCTGGGTACGGCAACTTCGACAGCAATCAGACTGATCGCCTGGCCTTGGTAAACGCTCCCAGGAGAGATGTAGCTATGATGCCTGGTAGTGGATACTTAGTCATCGCATTCAAGACGAATAACCCAGGTGTACGTATTCGATCATACCAGCTATCTTTCAGGTATTCAGATCACTGACCGACATTCTATCAAGGCTTGGTTGATGCACTGCCACATTGCGTGGCACACCTCGGAAGGCTTCGCCGTTCAAATTGTTGAGCGCGAGTCGGAGATCACCTACGACACGGATGTGCTGAACCAGACATGCACCAACTGGATGAACTACGTGGTCCAATCTGACTTGAACCAATACGATTCCGGTGTCTAAGCTTCAAGGTCATTGATGTTTGTTGAATAGTAGTAGTCTTCCTCAAGGCTCGCAGAACTCCAACTCTGATAACAACGGATAGAGAAGACAGAAGATAGTCCATGATGTAATAGCAGCTTAATGCCTAAACACCTTTGTACAAGTTTCCAATTTCATGTGAACTGTAGCATTCTCGTCAGTGGTTTCCAGCCCATAGGAGTCTTTCAGATCAATCGGATTGCGCCTAATCCATTTAAGATGACTACGTTACCTGGGTACTTATATGGTTGATGTGACTGTCATCAGCATGGTTGCTTGGGTTCGATAATTGCTCTGGTTCGATAACCTTTTGTTAGCAGTTGTTTGAACTAACCACATCCCAAGGGCGTCTGCCCATCAGTTTCACCAGCAGATCCATGTTTGACCGGTGTTCATGGAAACACGTGGTGAGGAACAAAGTACATTACCTATTTGTGAGTAAGGACGTGTGAGTATTAATCAGCAAGGAGGAGGATGCAGCCTTTATGATGCTTGCCTCTACAGCATGATGGTAACATACCTTATCTTAAAGACACCACCATCATGCAAGACAGCTCGGCGCCAAGACCCATCTCATAGCATGGAGTTGTTAGCGTTTACTTTTTTACTCAGGTAAGCTTGAAATATTACACAGTCAATTGTATTGTTTCGCTACTGGCATTGTCCGGCACGAAGTTTGGCGAACAACTCTAGCTGCTTTCCGTCTTCCAAGTTCAGCGCTGAGGCCGAGCATTCTCCGTACCCCCTCAACCACTGCGCTACGCTATCAGCCGAACGAGATAATGGCGGATAGCTCTATCGGTATTCGGACGTATTGTGCCGCATCGCGATCGGGAATAAGATGATATCTTCGGGCTCTTCTTTTCCGGAGTAAGAGATAACGAATACCTGGTCCAACCAAGACCCCAGTCACCTTCCTGCAATGGCATGGTTCTCAGTGCGATGCATCATTTGATTCGTCCAAACTGTAACGTCGTCGATGGTCGCCATAGACTTATCGATGGGGATGTTCTCCAAATGCTTAACATCTCCACGCGATCCTTACACCCGCCGAGATATAGGTGCGTCATAGACAGCTGTGATAACAGCAGAGGGGCTCCGACGGGCAGGCACGCAGTCACATATAACGATGGCAGGGGCACTCGTCTCGATATTGAGTATTTCTGGTCTGGAGTGTCATCAGAGCTCAGCAACGCCATCAACATGAGCTCCGACCGAAAGATCGATGTCGAAAAGGCCCCTAGCTTGGGTGGTGGTCAGTCCGAGGTGTTGATCGGCGAGGTCAAGGACGTCAAGAACGCTGATGCCGCGCTTGAGTTCCTTCGGGATGGCGGAGATGTCACACCCATGACAGCGGAGAACGAGCGCCTTTTGAAGCGCAAGATTGATTGGCGAATTATTCCTCTCATGTTCGCGTGCTACATTCTTCAGTATCTCGACAAGACCTTGATCAATTATGCGAACGTCATGGGGTTGCAGAGCGACACCAATATCACTGGCGACCAGTACTCACAACTGGCCATGATATTCTACGTGAGCTATCTAGCGTTCGAGTTCCCTCACGCTTGGGGCATGCAAAAATTCCCAACGGCCAAGTACATTGGGATCATGGTCTGCATGTGGGGTACGGTGTTGGCAACTACATCAGCCTGCCACAGCTGGGCGGGATTGGTTGTGACAAGAGTCCTTCTAGGAGTTTTCGAAAGTGCTGTTGCTCCTTCACTGATCGTCATTACGACGATGGTAAGTATATGCCTCTGCTTCTCTGACTACGGTCTTTCTGACTACGGTCTTTCTAACGTCTCGTCTGCAGTGGTACAAGCGCCAAGAGCAGCCTCCTCGGATGGGCATCTGGTATCTCGGTACTGGCAGCGGGACTATCGTCGGCTCCCTCATTTCTTTCGGCTTCCAGCACTACCACAGCTCCGGCTTCACCTCATGGCAGATCATGTTCCTCATCTGCGGATTGATCACCATTGCCATCGGTATTACGGTCATTCTAGTTCTACCGGACAATCCCATGAGTGCACGTTTCCTCTCCCGGGAGGAGAAGATATGGGCCATCGAGCGATTAAGGAACAACCAAACCGGCGTCGAAAACAAGCGATTCAAGCGCGAGCAGGCAATCGAATGTTTCACAGACCCGCAGACTTACCTTCTAGCGCTTATCACCATCGCTTCAAATGTGCCTAACGGTGCCGTCTCTTCATTCCAGGCCACCATCATCAAAGGCTTTGGGTACACGTCCAAGGAAACGGCGCTTCTTTCTATCCCATCAGGGGCAGTCAGCATCGTCTCAATATTGGCTGCTACAAATATGGCAGGGAGATTCAATCAGAGAGCCATCAATATCATTTGCCTCCTGATACCCGGGGTTATCGGCGCCGCCCTGATGGCTTTTCTTCCGGAGGACAACAAAGCTGGCAAACTTATTGGCAACTACATGACGAACTGCATTGGAGCAACTTTGCCTCTGTTGTATTCTCTCGTTGGCGCCAATTACGCTGGTCATACCAAAAAGGTACGTTGGAGCGTGCTGACAAACATTCCGCAACGAACCTGACGCGTGTGTATGTAGGTCACCATGAATGCTACTCTGCTCATATGTTTCTGTCTTGGTAACATCATCGGGCCATTGACATTCACGGCAGAGTCTGCTCCCGGATACCTCCCCGCCAAGACAGCTATTATCGTGACCTGCGGATTGGCGATGGTGTTCACATTGATGCTGAGGTACTATTACGTGTGGGAAAACAAGCGACGAGATGGACTTGTTCAAGCCGGGGAATTAGGCCATTTGAAGGATGTCGAGTTCAGCGATATGACTGATCGTATGAACAAGGAGTTTAGATACACCCTTTGAGACTGTTACTATCCCAATGAAAAAAAGTAAGGTCAGAGGCATGGGGCTCAAGGAGCATTGGGACTTCAGACTTTGCGAGGAAACATTTGAACGTCAAGCAGCTACTTTCTGAATGCACTATTGGTTGAGACAAGAGCTTCGCAAAGGGGGCAAATTTGCGCCGTACCACAGGCTTCTGCGCTTTATCGTTCCGGCCTCCAGACGGGTGCTTGCTAGATCAACTGATCTGCAGGATTGTCCTTTGCCTTGCATTAAGAGAAGTACATCCGTTGAGGCCTCAACATTCAATTCGTAAATGTTGGACAACGTAGGTTTATGGCCCTGCTACAAACTTCGAGACTACCCAAAACGAAATTATGCCCCAAATGGAATACGTTGCAGAGGAAGCACCTGAGTTGACTGAAGCCTCAGTCAACATCTCGGTAATAAGACCAGTGCTGGGGCTGAGAACGTAAGTACACGGGCTGGTTTCTCTTTGTTTTAATGGTTTGAACTTACATTTTGAATCCTCCGGTCCTTTTCTGGAATAGCCCATCCGGATCAACAGAAACCCGGACTCTTTCCGCCAACGCTCGCTTTCCTGGCTTCAATCTTCCCCAGTAGTCTTGTCGGAAGTAGCCATCGTTCATGAAAAGGGGCCTGTAGACGTCTGGAAGAGTGCCATCTTGGACAAACCCATCAACACGAGACTTCATGCCAGTATATAACTTGACCATTGTCTCGTCGACTGCAGCGTCATCAAGTTGAAATAAATAGGAGTAGTCAAACTCGAAGATGATCCTGTCGACCCCGTCGTCAAGATCGAGTAGATCGCCACCTTTCTCTCGACTAATTCGGGCTAGCGACTTGGGTATTGGCTGAAAAGCCATTGAGGCAATAATTCCAGCTACTCCTGGCTTCGCAGCCGACGTGTTGTACCAGTGATCGTAGTAAGATCGCATCACTTTTGCACCCGCTTCGACTGGTGGAAGAGGCGTCGTCTCTGTGGCGATAGTGTACACACTACCTTTCAAGACGAAGACGTTGTTTGCTTTGAGAAAGTCTGTGTAGGATCTCGTCTTACAAGTATTCAGCGTTGGTTTGATGTTCAAGAATTCGTCAAATACCCCAGATGGAGGCTGGGGTCCGTCGTAGAACAAGAAGAAGATCCAGATATTGACACTGTTCAGCACAGTCAATTCCGAGGTGGCGATAATGGCTGCCTTTGGATCGTTATAATTCTCGGTAAAGTTTCGAATCGCCGCGAGTATCTCGTCCGTTTTGTCGCCACCAAATACCAAGTTCCCGCCCCATATCTGCTTCCTATGTCAACAGATTCTGTCGCCAACGCAAAGTCGCTACGTGCAGGGAGTACTTGCCTGTCCTATTGCATGTGCTTGCAAGTTATATCTGGTTACGATACCGTATGCATTTCCGCCCCCCTTGATAACAGCAAGGAGGTCCGGGTTAGAAGTACTGGACGCGGTTACTATCGATCCATTCGCCAGTACCATCTCCGCCGACACTATGTTGTTTGATGCCCAGCCGTATTGGGTGCTGAGAAAACTGAGCCCTCCTGAGGAGTATTAGACACGACACTTCCGTACCGAAATTAAACATAGAACATACCTCCTAGAAGATATCCTCCCACGCCGACGTTCCCGATGCGGCCCCCGACAACAGTGACTCCAGTTCCTTCGAGGGCGGCGTGAACATCTTCCCATTTATTTCCAGGGCCAACGCTAACCGTGTTGTTCTCTTTGTGGTACACGACTTCATTTAGGCTTTTGGTCGATATTAAAGGGCCACCTTGCACGCTCGCAAAGTAGTCGTTCGGGTTGTGTCCTCCCGATTTGACAGCGAATTGTTCTTTGTTGTTGAGCAGGGCCGTGACGATAGACGAAACCTCTGCAGCGCTCGTTGGGACAAGGATACAGCCTGGCTTCAGGTTGCTGCAACTAGTCGACCTAATGACAGTTAGTAAAACTTGACGATGGAGAAAGAATCCTACCAGTAATTCTGTAATTCCTGGGTGTACTGTATCTCGATTCCCTGGTGCAGTTGGATCTTGGTCGATTCGGATAGCTGTTTACACGTCGCGGACTGTGACTTAGCAGACACTATCAGGCCCAACAACGCACATAGTGTGAGTAGCCTAGATAGATAAACGCTCATTGAGGGCGATATGATTAGACCTAAAGAAGAATTTAATGAAAGTCTTGTGAATGTTGATTTTATGCCTTCCGTAGGACTGCGCAAGGGGGAATTGCCGGCTATGTACTTTACTTCATCACGCTAGTTGAGGTATTTAAAGCGGTCAACTGAGTCTTTCTTTCTACCAATCAAGTCTTCTAAGAAACGAATCTCGGCCAAGTCTGACACCTTCCGTAATTGCAGAGATGGGGGCGCCATGATGCTGCTTCAGATGGCATCGCTTGTCAAGTGGATCAGATGATACGGTCGCATGAGAGCTGGCCATCACACCTTCCTACCCTGCGTCTGTGCCTAATTCAGCCTAACCGGAGCTATTATAGGAAAGAGAATCGTCAAGTTGTTAGGTACAACGATGCTGATGATGATGAAAACTTCGAGGTTTCGTATTTTCGGCTCCGAGTTTTCGCATATTCGTGCTTTTCGGAAGCCCATACAATCTCGCGATGTAAACTCAACTTGTGAAGGAAGATCGTTGTACTGAAGTTTCAGTCTTCCTTGACAGCCGAGCCAAAGCCAATGACAGCACTGAACCCATTGGTTGTTCCAGAACAGCAGACAAGGGTGGGCTTCCTTCCGTATCATTTTTGGCATCGGCTGATATATCACATTCCCTGGACGTCGTCTGTTGTAGGAAACTTAAAGCAAGATGAAGTGGTACAGTGACTGAGAGGACCATTTTAGGAGTCGACGACTTGGCCCAGCTATTGCACTATCGGCAATGAGCCTTATTGGTTAGTGTACTTTGTCATGAATCTTGTCGTCCTCCACCACAACCATCCTGCCACGAGAAACTCGGGCTTCCTTTGAAGATCGGCAGATCACCCACTTCGCCGTCAACCCGGGTCTACGTACCTTGGCTGGGCACCGTGTCAGCCCAGGGACATGATGACTACATGTACTCTGCAATGTATTACTCTGCAGTGCAGAAAGGTCGTGCCTCCTTCCTATGGGTCCACTTCAGCTCGCGTAACAAAGCCCCATGTTCCGAGGTGCATGGGGACCAGGGATTTTACAGACTGGGACATCGCGTGAAGAGCGTACAAATCCGATTGGCAAGATCATGATAACCGAGGTACATCAAGTAGGAAACTTGATCTTTTAGTTATCAAGGTTAAGGAATCCTCCGTCAACGTTATCCTTTCATGTTCCCATCCAACGATCTGATCACTCGGATTTGATGTTACGTCGTTAGCGACTCCATTTCAGAAGTGTTGTTTTGCAGCTCAGTACGGAGTACGGAGTACCATTTGCTGATGCGCTTCTCCACTTGCCGTTGCAGGTATGCAGAGAGCAGGGACCACACCAACCAACACGTTGAAGCATCGCGTGACAGCGCTCCGGCGGTCTTCCAACCGCATCAGCCAGTGTTGGCTTATATGAAAGCAACCGGTCCAATCATACCTCGACCAGGCCGACACCACAGGGTTCCTGATATCTTGGAAAGGAAGATTCATTTCCGACGCATGTACGGGTAGACGACCGATTGAAGAATCTGCCCTCTTCATAAACATTTTGTACGACTTGGGTTTGAATTCTAGATTGTAGAGCACACGTCCATACACACAACCGATACAGAATTTTGCCTACGGAAGAATCTCCGATGTGGAAGTTTCCCACCACGGTTGTAGACTCACTTGAATCAACGACAGTCGAGCAGTAGGCCTGTTTTCTTCTTTTTAGCTGATTGAGGATACTCGTTCCCAACCTCTCTGTACCTATCGTTCCTGGATTATGCCAATGACACTCAGGCAAACAGTTGAATTCTATTCAAATCTCCTGATTCTGCAACGTCAGGGCGGTTCTAGCGCTCTCGTTTCTTCCAAAAGAGGTTCCGCATCTGGTCGCTTGTGCATGCACGTGTGAAGTGAGATTACGATTGTATCAATGAATGCCGGTCAAAAATATGCACATGTACCCGTTACTTCGGGTATCTGGATCTGCAGTAAGTCACACCAGGCTGTTGTATGGAGCCCCTTCCTCGCTTGTGTTGGTCGTGACTTTCGCTGTGTCTGTTCTCAACAGTGCACATGTATCTACATCATGGTCCAACATGGCTCTGCATTCCTTGCAACTGAAGGTTGCTCCTCACAGACCAATGTCTCCTCGTGTTGAGTGAGAGTGATTGATCGGACCTCCACGGCTTCCTGGTTTTTCTTTTCTCTTGATAAGGAGGCGCGTATGGAAGTCGAGAAATCTGCTCAAGTACACTTCTTTTTCTGTTTCCGGACGTCATCTCTGAGAATCATATGGAGTATTAGTTGACACTGACAACCTAACTTTGACAAGCTCGAAAGGATTAGGTGGTACAACCCTATGTCCTACGGATCTTTTGCTTTCCAGCATGACTGACCGCCAAGAATGGCATGCTGTACGACCCGAAGGTCTTGCTGCGCGGATATTGAGCGTCACTATTGGCTTCACCGTCGCCTGCCTCCTAGTTGTTGGTTCAAGGGTATGGCTGCGATTGAGGCTATCGACATTCGGCACCGAATATTATCTCATGTGTGCGGGAGTCGTAAGTTCCGTTTGTAATCATTGCTTTATCTACTGGTGGCATTCGTTTTCGCTGACTGTCAAGACTCTCAACATGGTGCACAACGCTGTTGTCATGTATGGGACGTTCACGGGGATTGGCTCTCCTGACTCCAAGCTGAACACTGCCATTATGATTGAGGGCGCAAAGGTATGTCGAATTGACATAGAAACTACTGCGACGTGCTAATTTCGACACAAAGGCTATCGTCTTATGGCAAATATTCTACGTCAGTGGCTCTCTGCTTATCAAAACCAGTATCTGCGCAACGCTCGTTCGCATCGCTACTCGACGCCGATTTATCTGTACTTTGTACGGGCTAGTAGCAATGTCAGCAGTATCGACTTTGATCGCCATCTTAGAGGTTCTCGTTAGGTGTAAACCAGTGGCTGCATCTTGGGATCCATCTCTCGGTTCTTGTCTTGACCAAACGATTATTATCACCCTTACATACGTTGTTTCGGTCATCAACATCATCAACGACTTTGCGGTAGCGATAATTCCGGCCTTTATGCTGTGGGACATACACATGCGGAGGCGACTGGAGGTCTTGACTATCTTCATTTTGGGGCTGGGAATTCTGTGAGAACTCTATGTTATATGAGCTCTTTTTCGCTGTCTTCTGACTCTTAGACAGCGCATCAACCGCGACGATTATCCGTATGCCTTATTCCTCTGCGTATAGTAACCCCGCAAACCTTCTTCGTAAGTCACTTGCCATCATAACTCCCTCATTCACGGGTAGTTGACGATAGAATATGAAGGGAACGTTGGCAACATCATTCTTTGGACCGTCGTCGAATGCGGTATGGGGATCATTGCCGGATGCCTTCCTATGCTTCGCCAGCTTTTCAAGGGGCTTGCGAAAGAGTTGAGCAACAAAGATGACACATATGCCCTTCGGGAACGCTCAGGAACGATGGCTCTAGGCCATGGCCGAAGCCGGAGTAATCGAGAGAGCCCCCCTGACACGGAAACCGACAGCACACATGGGATCATCAAAACGACCAGAATCGATGTAACAGCAGCATCCATGCAATTTTCATCGAGGGGCAGAGACGACCTCTTGCGCAACGGAGGGGATATGGCTTAACAAGGCCCCATGTAGGACCACAAGACAACTCGTCAACCCCGGGCAGGTATGGGAAATGTTTGCTGGAACTTGCCCAGGGTGGGAGTGCATAAGTACCTACTGCGTAGACTCTAAAGGTACCAGACACAAGAGATATCCAACCATTCATAGGCTCCTCAATGATCAATGACCAGTCCAGGCGCATAGCGGCCTCAACAGATGCCACGAATAGTGCCTCTAAATCTATATTACACCGTCATCAACTACGACTTGGATTTCATTCATGAAACAACAACAAACACGCAAAGTGCAGACCTGCCGTTCCTTCCGATGATGATCTCTGGGTATGAACCAACAGTCGCATCCCCCTAACGCCAACACGATGTGCAGATGTGGAGTAATTATTACGATGGTCAGGACCCTGGCCCAACTTCCAGGTCTGAGGTCCACCGGTTATAACTTATGCGTGACAAACACATGCAGGGTGGGATGTTGGACAGGAGGCATACAGAACGACAACTGAGTTGACAAACCGATGCTCGGCCCCAAATCGCATGATAATCTTTCACCGTGCTTAGGCTCACATCATTCCTTTTTCAATTTCCATTGACTTCGCATCACGAGAACACACACACTCCAGATGCCATGACATCTTACGAAGTCAAGGGCAAGTTCGCCATCGTCACCGGCGCTGGTTCTGGTAGGTTAATATTGCAACTCAAGCATAAAGTTATGGAGACATCAAGGAAGAAAGCTCACATCTTTCGGACTAGGTATCAACCATGCATTCGCTGAACTCCATTTACAGGAGGGATGCTCAGTCATGCTTGCAGACATTGAGTTGAGGCCCGGAGCTGAAGCGACTGTGGCCAAGTATTTCAAGGACTCTATCGATGCCAACGGCGCCTACGCCATTTTCCACGAGACAGACGTTTCCGACTGAAACCAGATCAACTCATTGTGGGCTACTGCACTCGAAATCTTCCCGCTAGTTGATTTCGTCTGCAACGGCGCTGGTGTTTATGAGCCTCCGTCAAGCTGTTTCTGGAATGCCCCTGGGATTTCTCCTCTCGCTCAAGACCCATTTGATGCTGAAATTGGGCAATACAAGACATTCGCGGTCAACACAATTGGACCAATTCGATTGGCTCAAATTGCCATTGACTATTGGCTCCAGAACCGCAGCATCGAGGGCAACCTTCTTTGGATCGCAAGTCTAGGCGGATACGTCCATCCAATGCATACGCCCGTGTACTTTGCCAGCAAAGCTGCCATCGTAAGCATGGTCAAGAGTCTTGGTGGTCTCAGGAAGGAGCTGGGAATCCGAAATGCTGCAGTTTGTCCTGGAGCAGTTTATGTGAGTGGCCAAGAAGACCCTGCAATACCAATTTCTTCTCACGGTTCTTCTTTCATCCCGAAAACAAACTGACTGAGCACA